GACACCCTCTATTAAGCGAACACTTGGGAAGGTCCCGAAGGTGTCCGCTTAAAGTTTTCACTGTATTTTTATTCTTGTAGCTGTTAATTTGCACTGAATTTTTTTAGTATTTATATGTATTATTATCATATTATTATTATAATTAGAAGTTGACTAGTTTTCTAAGCAATTTTCGTTTGTTTGTTTTAGGGCGAAGTAGGAAAAGGACTCAAGCTAATCCAAGAAGCAATTGATTTGAGGAAGGAGCTTGAATTGCCTCTGTATGTAGCAGTAGGTTATTGTGATCTTGGAAGTGAGTATCTACTTCCTCCATTATTATTTTTTTGTTTTTGTTTTTTTCATTTCTTTTCGGTCAAAACGTGGCAAATAAATCTGAATGACTTGAAATATCATATGGCCTGGATACCCGCCCCTTCTTAATCACCACTAACGTGCCTCATGTCGATGATGATCAGTTAGAGTTCCAGCCAGTGATGTACGGAAGGAGAGACCATAGCCACACCCCCTAACAAGGCCGGGCTGGCTTTGATATGGTCCTAAAGTCAGTGGTAAAAGATTGCCCTCATCACATCTTGCCAAACATTACCAACCCAGTTTTTTTAGCACATACTCCTTAAGTCAATAAACGTGAGTAAACAACTATTGTAGGCCGCAGCGCTTGGAAACGACGTTGATCGATGGTCTTTTCCCCAAGAAGCCTCTTTTCCAATCAAATATACCAACGATCAACCTCGTTTCCATCGAATCAATGGTATATTGCTTGCATCTTCCAAATTTTTTCAGAGTCGGTTGGTTATGAAGAACTAATCGGGGAATTGGAGCAAATCAAGAGAATGCTAAATATTTTGCATGAATAATAAATTATATACATGATTATTTTTTTTTAAACGATGTAAATTTAATTCTGAAAAGCCCCTTTAGGATTATCGACGAGTTGTCTGATTGCGTTTTGTTACCATTAAAATTAACCCTATCTTTTTTCTTGTTTTAGACGCCCATAGAAGGTCCGGGGATCATAAACAAGCAATCCGCATTTGGCAGACAGAAACTTTACCAGTGTATAAAGATGTGCTTGGTGACCACCCTTGGACAGCTTCGATCCTGCGATACATAGCCAGTTCGTACAGGTGCCTTGCGGAGTCTGAATCTGTCAATTCTGGAATGGCTGATGTAGCCGAAATGTACAGCAGAGAGGCTCTAGAATTGCGAATCAAGCTGCTAGGGGAACATCAGGATACCGCTCGATCCCATGTTGACCTTAGCGATGTCTTGATTATTAAAAAAGATTTCAAGTCAGCTATGGAGCAGCTTCAAAAGGCCATTAAAATCCAAGAAGAGGTTTTAGGTGAAGAACATAAGACTACGAAGGAAACAAAAAAAAAGTTGACGGAAATACAGTTAATGGAACAATGACTGATTCACCTTTATTTACAATACTTTAATCCCCTCTAGTAGACATAGATATAGACATAGACATAGTTTATTTAGACACGGTTAAAACATCGGTATAAAACGATAATGAAAATCTAAAGTACTGGTTTACGTGTTTGCCGTGTGAGAGACTGTTGATGAATATAAGTCGTTGATTCCCTTTTTAAACCTTTTAAGGGTTAACGGCTTACGTAGTTCGGATGGCAGTCAATTCCAAAGCACAGCCCCTGAATACCAAAGACTTCACTTAAGATAGTCAGTTCTTGCTTTGGGTACATATAAGATGTTCTCAGAGCGACGGATATTGTAGTAAGCGTCATGAATAGAGAACATATCTTGCATGTAGGGGGGCATTTGCTTGTTAAACGTTTTGAACATGACAGCTTCCTTTTGTTTTGTTCGGCTAATCGAAACCCTATCACATCCAAGCATGTCCAAAAGAAGACCCGAACTAGCATCATAACTAGATTTGATAATTGTCCCTGCCGCAAGGTTTTGTAATTTTTGTAGTTTATCGTTCAAAGTTTGGCTGTTACCATCCCAGACACTACAGCAGTACATAAAGTGAGGTTCACTAGTTAAGGCATGATAGATTTTTGTAGCTGAGCGTGTGTTGAATAATGGTCTCACACGCTTCAAGGTCAGGCTCCAATTCCTGAGGAGATTTTCTTCTAAATGTTATCGATATGCTTAGACTAGGAGAGGGTCTCGTCAATTGTTAGACCAATAGACTTTGAGAAGTAAACCCCTTGTATTTCCTTGCCTTTGATATGTGCTTGGATAGAAACCTCAGCTTGGGTTTGCAGCCTCTGACGGGAGCCAATGATCATGAATTCAGTTTTAGCGACATTTAGCCTCAGTTTGATAGCTTTAAGCCAATTGTTAACGTTGGTTAACTCGGTGTTGATCATTATTTCAAGATCATAGATTAGGTCATCGGGGCTGCAAAGCTGGTACTGGTGTCATCCGCATACTTTCGAGCGGTGCCATTGTTAAGAGAGTTTGGCAAGTCATTTATATGACGTAATAGGAAAAGTAACTGGACCAATTAGAGAACGAGGGACGCCGCAAGTAATCAGTTTGACCAGCGGTGAATACGTGGCCATTGACAGTCCTTTTTTTACTCCTAGAAGATAGGTAGGATGTGAACCAGCTGACAGAATTTTGGTCGAGACCATATTTGACCGATTTCGGGATAACAATTTCATGGTCAATAGGTCAAAGGCTTTCTATAAATCGATAAGAATCACCCCATTAAGGGGAACGTTGTCAATATTAACACACCAGTTGTTTGTGGCTTCAAGCAGCGCAGTTAGAGTAATGTGCAACGACTGAAATCCAGTCTGGCATTTTGACAATAGATAGTTTGTATTTAGATAGTATAATTGATCATAAACTGGTTTCTCGTAAATTTTTGGCAATAATCGTGATAGCCAAGGTAAAGCGTTCAGCTTACTACCATTCTTGAAAAGTGGGGACACACTTGATTTCTTCTTATCATGTAAAAAAATTACCGGCGAATGTGATCGGCTGAATATAGCAGTAAGGGAGGGGGCAAGAGTGTCTCCGCCTAATTTAAAGAGCTTATAGACGGAATTTTGTTAAGCCCCAGTAGCCTTGTTCGTGTCAATATTTCTTAAAAGTGTAAGGACGTCATTAATGGTTATTTCACGGCAGCTGAAAGAGCTGCTAGTTTGCTTTACGTAGGTTAGCGGGTCTACATTTGAATAAAAAATTGTGATTGGCTAGGTCTTTGCCGATTCTGGTAAAGTGAGAATTAAAAGCCTCAGCGATATCAGGGCCCTCAACACCCGTTCCCCTATTTTAACTGGCTAGTGAGCCGGTTACTCTAGTTAGTACCTTGATCAGTTGATTTAGGCCGTAAATGTACATAATATTTAGATGATTAGTATTATGGTCAGTTGGCCCTGGCAACATGTCATGATTTATATCGCCTAAAAGGTAGAATTCCAAGCCCTTAACATCTACTTTACCGATAATATCCTTGAATACACCTAATAGAGCAACAGGTGATTCGGACCGGTATCACGTGTTTACAAGGAAGGGCAACAACAACAACAACAACAACAACAACGAGCTTTATTTACATGACCATACAAGCTAGTATTGCAAAAGCTATTTTTAGGAATCAAAATTACAACACAGGGCAATTACGTTACTTTGATAATAATTTGCCATGAACATCAAAACAAGCTGAAATATAGTTTGTGAATTGTATATTGATAAAGTAATTACAAGAGTTCATCAGTTCATTGTTCAATCCGTTTATACATAATTGAGTAATATTTGGAATCAGAGTCTTGACGTTATAGTAAAATTTATTCCTAATCATAGAGTATGTAGGACATTGAAAAAGAAAGTGAATTTCGTCTTCTTTTACATTGCATTCACAAAAAGGGCAATGCCTATTATCGTTCGTAGTTTGATTGTATCTGCCTATTTCTATGATTAGTTTGTGATTGCTTATTCGTAGCTTTACTAAAGCCCTTCTCCCAGCTGTTCCTCTTGTTAAGTCTAAGTAACTAAAGGAGGTATGATCGGTTTTAAAAGATCTATAAAATGAAGGGTGTTTTGCCAATATGAGATATATTCCTGTTTCATTGAACTTACATAGCTTTTTACCATAGCTATATCTAATAAATCAGGGTTAAAGTCAGGAAGCTTAAAGTATTCTGATATATTCATTAAATAAGAGTGGAAGCTATTTTTGCCATTACAGTGTAATTCAAATGACATTAAAAAAGCTTGTTTGACGAGCGATTCCTCATCTTTAGACTGTATATACAAAATGTATTTGAGAATTTTTTGATTGATAGTGATACTTAAAGGAAAACGACCAAGCTCTGCTCCATAAGCTATATTAGAAGTTTTGTTGTTTACCTCCAAGTATCGTTTACAAAATTGAAGGTGTGCCTTCTCGATTTGTGAAATTTCACTGTTATATGTTAGAATAGCGGAGATCATAGTATCAAATATTTTGCAGGCGAGAGCTGCTTTTAGTTTGCTAAGATTCGTGTGTCGCCTCAAGCTGAAGAGGGCATGAAGAGCTTTCTCCTTGAGATTTTCACGTGACACATTCGAAGGCATTAGAATGGGGTTTGCTTGTACCCCTTGGTACATAAAATCAGCGAAAAAGTGTTGATCATCTGAGATGATAAGTTGATTTCAAGAGATTGACAAGCTCGCTAGTATTGGAAGCTTCCGCGACGGTCAACGAGTGTGTAGAGCTTTAATATCCTTAGCAATGAAGCCTACTGTAATTGGCCTCAGCTTCGATCAGCTGTTGCGGAGTCCGTGCCGACACCCTTCCTTACGTTGTATGTCTTTTTTGTTTTTTTTCGCCGAAGCTAATAAAATAAGAGAATTCCCCGACTGAGTCGAATTCTAGTCTTTTTCTTCTTATCGACAGAATTGATCGTAAAAGTGGAAGTCCTAACCTTAAGCAGTATTTGAAAATAATTCGGCGCCTTTCATTCCTGTTGTTTAGACCAGAGTACATCCTCCTTTTTCTGATATTCTTTAATAGTCTTCCGCCTTCAAAGCCTGCGCTTTCATGACGGAACGGTAGCCTGGCACAAGACTCCTTATTAGGGAAAAAGGGCAAATAAAAAACCAAGCCGGAGTAAGGGGCAAACCAAGCGGGGGTTTTAGGACTCCCAAGTCCCCTGCGCGGTTGCTTCGCTCGTCGATTTTGTTTTTTCTTACGCTGTTATTTGCCTTTTACCTCCATCATGCAAGGAGCCTGATCCAAGGAAAGCGGAACAGCGGCTTTCAGTCCGTTCACTTACCTCGCCCGCGACTGTATAGACTGTAAACTATATGCAACAAATGCGCAATTAGATTTCGGTGAAATGAGTTGAACGACTGAGAAACTAGGTACAAATCAAGAACAATTTATGAAGTCTTCGCATAAAAATTATAATAATACTAATTCTTCAAATAGTCACATATTTTGTGCAAGACTCTTATCTACCGTCGTTGGTTGTGATACCCAGGCCCTCAGCGGAGTGTATATGATAGACTGATTTCCCCATGATTCTCAATCATAATTTCCAGAGCGAAGGCCGTACGCAAACACGGACGTTCCGCAAAGAAATTACGCCAGCTAGTGGCGATTAGGATAGAGGATGGGAGCGGGACTAAAGAGTGCCATATCTAGAAACCGAAGACCGGGCCGATCTCGAACAAAGAGTGTCATCACCCTTGTCCAGCGGAACCGACCCTATTACCGTTTCACTGGACAAGCGTAACGCGTACTCTGTGAACGAGATTGGAAACGGCGCATAAAGGTCTCTGGCACCCAGGGTGAAGGGCTGAGGGGCGATGCTGCTTGTGTGAAAAATAGAACCGCGTAAGAGGTATAGTCAAACCAGCGGAAGTCCGGCAGCAGTAGCAGCAGCAGTCGGTTTATGAAAAAAAAGTTATGAAAGTTCTGTTTTGATTAGGCAATAAAAAAAGCAACAAATGTAAATCTTATTGGGCAAAAGGGGGCTTTGCCTGCAAATACCTGCAGCTTTTTATCCTCGCTCCTCGCCGGAAGAGACGTTCCTTCCGGTGAGGAGAAAAGAGGGACGACTGTATTCGCAGGTTAATGGGGGCTTTATTGGACCAATTTTTAAAAAAACGTCCAAAGAAGACCCATGTGTTTGTGGCTCGAGCTTTACTTGAGCCCTTGAATACCTTGTCAAAAAAGACCTACAAGCCCCGTTTACAGTTACCTAATCATAGAAAAAGCAAAAAGAAAAGAAATACATTAGCCATATAGGAATTGTTTGGCCATGAAAATATTGCATTTTTGCAGTCATTTTAGGAAAGTTCAATTGGCCACTGTAAAGACGTATTGACTCTCATCCTTTTGCAAGACCAGCTCCCTGGATGGAATGAGTGCGCCGAGTTTATTCCTGTTCAGGTTTTTTTCTATTCTCTTGTTTTCATTTTTCTATGACAACTTTACTGTAATAAGGTGTATAATAAACAACTAGGGGTACCTTCCGGCAAGTGCCAACGACGGGAATTCGTTTATCTTTTGTGGAATATGCCTATTCACATGTATTCAGATCTTCGCGATATTTCTTTCATAATTTTAGAGGTTTAAAATGGATTCCGCTATATAGAAAAGGATGGCACCCAACTTCAAAACTACAACTTTGGCACATTCTAGGCTTTCACTCTTATTAAACGATAACAACAAAGCTTTGTTGGTAAATATGAGCAAGTTAGTACTTATGTTTCATGGAAAATTCCATTGTATCCAAACTATAAACGTTAGAAAGAAAATTATAAATCAAATGAGGCCTTTGACTGCTGAAATTAAATTCCGAGCAACAGCGTCATCAGGGGTAAGAAAATATTTCGCGTGGTAATATACATAAGAAAAAATTGGTGTAAAGTAAAATGTGTGAAAAGCGCAAGAATGGGGCGGAATGTATCAGAGGTACAAAAATATAAATTTGAATAAAATACACAGATCTGATGAGCGAGTGTCACAAAGAGTCTCTTGAAAGGAATAATCATAGTATTCAAAACAAAAGGTCCGCAAGTTCGTTGCATTGCTCACGGGAGTTTTGGGCTGTCTCAATATATATCGAGCAGTGAAAAAACATACTGGTTGATAAAATCTCTCAAAAGACGAAAAAAAAACTCAAAAAAAAAGTCCGCAAATACGATGCATTCCTCTCGGGAGGAATGGCTCAATGTAAATCGACCTGCTAAGAACACGCTGGCTCTGATAAAAGTTTTGAGAATCTACCCTATACCTTGATCAACTACCGCTTAAAATTCAATTCACGAAGGAAAAGAAAACACTGAAAACCCTGGTTCTGAGTCGAGAAGCGAACACGCTACCTCAATGTAAATCGAGCTGCAAAGAACAAGCTGGTTCTGACAAAAATTGGAGGGTAAAAACCTATTCCTTCATCAGCTGCTGCTTTAAACGCAATTTGTAAAGCAAAGTAGCGCACTAATTGCTCTTTCAAACTAGAAATCGTATTAAAGCTTGCTCACCTGTTAGGTCCTCTAGAACAGACAACGAACAGCTGCACACACTGAATCACCCGAATTCGGACCACGAGTTGTAAATACAAGACCATGACGTCACTACCCAAATATGGGGTGTTACTTACACCCAAATATGGTCAAAAATGCAAATTTTAGAGGGTGCGCTGCGTTATAAGTCTGCCACCGAGTCAACCTCGCTTCTTAGCTCGGTTGCCTCGCTGGCAATAACTTAGTCAACCAATTGACGATCCATGTAGTGAATAGGGTTCGAAATAAAAGGAGACAGGTTTAAAATTAAACATTTATTTAAAAATCAAATATTCTTGGGAGTAAAAAATATAAAACAACTTGCAAAAAGATACAGACTCCTAGTAAAACAGTATCTTCAAAATATTACGGTCAAGCCAGTCGCCATTTCGTTATGATAAAAAATAAAGAAAAATTGACGAAAAGTTAATATCATAACTCGGGACTAGTTTGCGAAGGCGACGTCATTTGAGTTGAAACAGGAGCTCCTGGTTGAAAATAATAGGAAACTTCAGCAACAACGACGGCGACATCAACGAAAACCTCACCAAAAAGTAAAGTAACGTTCTTTCTTTTTTTCTCGATTTTTCAAAGGCGATAAATTTGAGAGGTCCATGTCCACCCTGAAAAGTCGCAAAAGCAAATTTCATGTCTTCGTCGTAAAGTGACGTCAAAAAATGTTCAACTCTGATACACGAGTAAACTGAGTTGTCAGACGCTTTCCATTTTATAGAGATTTCGAAAATTTCGATTGGAAATATAAATGGAACACACGTTTATCCGGCGTTCCACTGAAAAATTCCAGAAATTCCAGGGAATAAGTGGAATTTTGAAAAATTGGCTCTTTTTCTCGTTGGAAACTTATCCTATAAAAAGTGCGTTCCAGTTACGGGTTTTCACGAGTTGTCACAAAGCCTTATCTGGGCCGCCATTTTGAATTTTTGGACGGAAAAGGGAACGAATGCAACCCGGCGTTCATCACGCGACGGACATTTCCACCAAGATGTCCAAATATGTTTGGTAAATGGAAAACGCCCGTTGATTTGACCACTAAATCTATTGCTTTTTTGACGCTCTTGTTGCCGTCGCCGTCGTGGGTTGTGATTGCGCTCTTGAGCTCACTAATAGAAAATGGATATGACTTTCTGCGAAATTTTGAAATAACTTTGTACACTGGCATTGAATAATTATTTTAATATCTATCTTTCTTTAAACTGCATCTTTATCCCTTAAAAGTGTACAAGTAAGCAACGCCCGGCAGCAAGGTAAATCAACATCTACAGTTTCTTAAAACCGGGAAATTTGATCAATCACGGAAATATTTACAAAACTCTAAGTATACTTAATATTCTAATTTTCTATGGGCTAAAAGATAAAAGTATTTAAAAGAGAGAACGAACCAAGAAAATCAATAAAATCCAAGAGCCATACAAAAAAAACAAATTGTACTTAAAGCCCTGCGATTATAAAAATGTAACTTTGAAGGGATAATTGTTGGCCTGCAACAATTGTATTTCATTCACGAAAATTAACTTAACTAGGTTCTGTGTGTTACAAGCAGCTTCCATTCGTATTGAAGACAAATCCCCTTGACGGAAAGGTAGACTGGGACCAGGCTCCTTAGGAGGGAAAAACGACGAACAACAACCAAGCCGGAATAAAGGAGCGAACCATGCAGGGGTTTGAGGACTTCCTAGTCCCCTGCTCGGCTTGCTTCGCTCGCCGATTCTGTATGTCTTTATGCTGTTTACGCCACTACTTGCCTTTTTTCCACTACGCAGCCTGATCCCAGGCAAGCGAAACGGCGGCTTTCAGTCCTGTCACTATATTGTAAAAAAGGGGCGAGTCATGCGGGTGTTTAAGGACTCCCTAGTCCCCCCCGTTTGTCTTGCTTTGCTCGCCGATTCTGTATTCCTTTAAGCTGTTTACACCATTACTTGCCTTTGTTCCACCAAGGAGCCTGATCCCAGGTAAGCGGAAGGGCGGCCTTCAGTCCAGGCACTTTCTTTCTCCATGTTCTCCAGTTACCGGTATTCTTTAATTGTCTTCCGCTTCCAAAGCTTGCGCTTTTAAAGTAATATGCTTTTGAAATGGTGGTTTGTAATCTGTGAAGTCGATATCAGTTCCATATCTAAGTCTACGAATTTCTCTTCCTCGCAATAGATCGTCCTGTTGACAAAACGAGAAGAAATGGAATACACCAGTTTGTTGATTGAAAATAATTTGATTGGTTAAACCTGAAAAACACAGCCGACATTTCGCGACGCCACCACCGGTTTTCCCGCGAAATGACGTCTGAGAAACGAGCGCAGAACTGCCCGCATCTGCGTAGTGAGGCGTCCTTATACCCTCGTTTCTAAAACGTCATTTCACAGGGAAACTAGGGGTGACGTCGCAAAATGTCGGCTGTCTTCTGAGGTTATTAACAGTGCTATCAGAGGCCTGGCCTTATATTGTTGGAACATTTGAGTAACTTTGCTCGTGCATGAGCTCAGAAACGAGCAGATGGCTGCTAGATCTGACAATTGAAGAAAGCGCAGAATCACTTTACGATAAATAAGCTGAACGAAAAGAAAAAAACAGATACAAATTATGGGCAGTTAATGAAGTCCGGAACAAAATGATAACAATTACTTATCAAATGTAACACGCCTGGTGCAAACAAGTTCAATACATTTGTATACCATCTGCTCTGACCACCTTGGAGGAGTTGAAATCAACTTATTATTAACTTTGCAGCGCTCCAATTGACAAGCCTCTTTGCAAACCAGGTGCCTAATGCTAGTCTTACTTACAGTGGTTGGTTGTGATACCCAGGCTCTCCGCGGACTGTATATTATGGGCTGTGGTTTTTCATTGATGATTCCCAAAGCGGATGCTGCACGCAAAACAGAAGACTTCCGTACAGATGTCACACCAGGAAGTGGTGCTGAGGATGGAGGCTAAAAAAAGACAAGACATTTCAAGTTTGTCTTGCGAAATAAATAGAGGATATTACATGGTCGCGCGGAGATACGAAATTTCTCTTCGAGTGTTGAAAAATATTTCACGAGTGAGCGCAGCGAACGAGTGAAATATTTTTTCAACACGAGAAGAAAAATTTCGTATCTCCAAGCGGCCATGTAATGTTCTATTTATTATATAAACACCAATGAAATACCAAACCATTTCACTTTAATAGTTTTTTTGGTGTGAAAGGAGCGATTTATTATGAAGCCATAGCAACGGTGATATTTTCATATGTGAAGATATCAAATTTTCGCGCGAAAGCTCACCTGGTATTTCATTGGTGTTTATATAATAAAAGAACATAAGGTACCTACCACGACGAAACCCAAGTGGATATGACACGCCAAATACTTAACGAAGCCAAATCAAGCACCCGAAATGATTATTGGACAGGGACACGTAACAAAATTTAAGGGGGGAAAAGGTGGTCTGATGCAGAATATAGCCAAAAATACCTAAAAATCCAGTCAATTCTCAACTAAAGATGATCTGTTTTTTTCAGGCGATTACTACAACTAACCTCTTCCTGCTTTTTATCTGCTGGTGTCTTTACACTAGGCATGTGTGTCTTAGAAGAACCCGCTGACTTTGGTGCTTTCTTTCGCGGGTTTCCACCACCTATAGCATACAAGTAAAAAAGTGCAATGTGCTGAACGTTACTACGTTCCACTGGATATGTGTCACAACACATTCCCCTACATTTACAGTGTAAAATAAGCACAAGCAAGAATTTTAGGAAACGGCAGAAACGTGCCAGCAGTGACAAATTACATCTGAAAACAAAGCATATTCTAATGGGCCATTTACGAGTTCCAAACGCTCTCACTTTCAAAATGAGGCTACGTGCAAAAAACCCGTTCTTGTGAAAATGCATCTTACTTTCATTGAAATAAAAAATCGTTTTCATATCAATGGTTTCGCACTTAGACTCGCTTTGAAAGGCTTGGGCCAACTCGGAAATGGCATGTTGCAGGCGACCAGAGGAGCCCGCAAACCTAATCTCCGGGTTGTTATCACACATGCGCAGCATGTTGCAGCAAGCATTAGTTTAGACTTCCACTAAGAATGAACGGAATGTATATAACGCAATCTGATCACGCCCGTTTGGACCTTTTCTCGCGCACGTGACACGTACGCAAAGCACAGCATTGGAGTTGGAGCTCTTGTATAGATCTCGCCCGGAATCCCAAAACTTTAGTTATTACCAGTTAACAGTCATTTTATTGCATAGCGTTTGATTCTTCAGGAAAAGTAAGCCTTATTCCTGTGTGAAAGATTCTAACCACTAACCTTCAAAGAGGTCTGGGACCCAGAAACGAGGTTCTCACGGATAATTGCAGTCCCGTCTTCGACCGCCATGTTTTTGTTTCGACCTAAGGCCGTTGACCTTTGGTTTTTGGCGTAATGGGCATGATCAGTACACAAATCAGCTGACAAAGTTGCAAGCTGTGATAATTTCGTTTGGATTTCATTTAAGAGAATGCATGGAACGTTGCTTCTCCCCCTTACAAGAATAAACTACTGTTTCTTTTTAAAATACAATTTATTGGAAATAAATTTTTTTAAACAAAACATTTATGTAGCTACTAAAGAAATTCTCGCTCGTTCTCAGTCCCCGCCATCGTCGTCGCCATCGTCAACGTCGTCACCAGGCCCTTCTTGGTCATCATCGCCTTCGTTCCCAAGCCCTTCCGCGTCACTGGACTGCGCCTTGGACTTTGGCCGGGGTGCAAATTTCCCTGGTGAGGAAAGATGCGCAAACATCACTGGGACGCCTCAGGTCTGGGCAGGGTCTGTGTGCTTCATTCACCTTGACTTGTCGTCTGCCGAACTAACTTGACTGCATAGAGGTTTGTTGTTTGGCCCAGTGATACACGCAGTAACGTTGGTTTTGTTTCTCTGTGACACGAAACCTCGGTGGCTATGAAGAAAGGCTACGCGTGCAAAAAGGTGCAACAAGGCAAATACGTGACGACAAAGCAAAGCGGATGATAGCAGCACAAAAGCAACATTAGCTGTCATAACTACACGCAAGTAAACACCGACCTACCGGTTGCCTATATGAGAGCGTTGCGTATGGCTCGCTGGTTAGGAGCTGCACTTCTCTCATGATCGCCAGTTGTGGGGATTTTTTAGCCGGCTGCCGATTGTTTTTTGTTGAGTGAATATTTTACAGTACATGCAGAAGATATTTGAATCAAGTAGAAGAACTGACAAAAAAACTATATACAAAGACGACTAAATAGAAAACTTAGCCCGAGAAATATCATCAAGAGGATAATTAACCCGACCTGTTCCGCTTCAACCTTGTAGCAAAAACACTCACTGACTCCACAGAAATTTACGTCACTCGTGTTACTTTAACTGTCGTAAAGATAATCAAACCAAAAGGCTTTCTGGGGACCCGAGGACAGTCCCCAATAGAAAAGGTACAAGTTGTCAGAAGACAAAGTGTCAGGGCTTGACGCATAGAAAGATTCCTCAGTTGAGCCACTGGTCGAAAGAGTTTTCCTGAGGTTGTAAAGGTTTGAAGTTGGTAAGAGGGCGAGAGAGAAGCCTTAAGAGACAGAAAAATGAAGAACGTGTTAATGAAAATGTACAGTAGAGATAAAAGAAGAACTTTGGGTACAGCACAGCAACATCACCCAAAGAAAATAACAGGAATATAGAGGATAGAAATGCTGGACACAGAAAAAGATGAAGAAGCATATTGCAAACTTCACCGAAATATTTTTTCACGTAATAAATTAAGTGATAGCGCTTCTCAAGTGTACTGACAGTATGCTAAGCATACGATTCACATTTACTTACATATAGGACTGTGTACACTATTTAAAATTAAGATCCGAAAAAATCATAGAGAAAGGGGATGGCTGGTAGCATTTCAAACCAGTTCAAACTAGGTGTCCTGAGTAACTACACAAATGCTTTGGTTTGCGATTGTCTGCTCCGATTGGCCCTTTGTAGAACTTAGTCACGTACTTGGTTACCACTAAGCAACGATTCGCTGGATGGGGGTTCATTAAGATGACAAAGCTTTGAGTGCGATTTTGTCCAGTCATTTTGTTTAATTTTCAACAGAAAAATGAGACTACGAATGCTTCGCCCGATCGCACTCGAATGAATGAACGGTTGGATGGCTCCCCATCCAGCGAGTCATTGCTAAGTGGTATCCAAGCACAAGATCACGTTCTCCAAAGTCTTTTCGCCACAGTAATTGTTCTGGTTTTGAAATGACGATACTGACGGGAAAACCACTTTAATTACTGCAATATAAGGCTCTTTATATTCGTTTTACTTACGTTTCTTTTTATCCACTGGAGGCGGTATCTCATCCCATCTTTTCTGTACAATGGCTACCACTCGAGGATCAGCGTAAGCTTTCGCAACATCTAATGCGGTATGACCTTTCTTGTTTTCTAGCTGAACTTTAGCACTGAATAAAGGCAAACAAAAATGAAACAGTGAAAGAAAAAATTAAATAAACTTAGGTTGTGTTCTAGTTAGATAAAAAATTTCTGGTTGGTTAGTTGGCCAGTTTTCTGTGCCAATCTGGCAATCGGGATAGCACAATCCACACGCCAGATATCAGATATTTGCATCGCAGTTTTGTATCAGTAAGACACCTCTTTTTGAGAAGAGCAGGAAAGAAAGAACCTGCCAGAGAAAGATAAAAGTAATGACAGAGTCATCAAGGGAGGAACTCAAAGTGGAAGATCAATGGTTGGAAGTCTTAACAAAGAAACAAAAGCTGAAGTATTTTGGCCATTTGAAAAGAGGTGAGGGCTTGAGAAAGATTATCTTAGAAGGAAAGACAGATGGGAAAACAGAAAGACCAAGAAGGTAGTAGGATATACGGGATGTTCTCGATATGTCACTTACAGATGTTGGAAGATTGGCACTTGATAAAGATCGATTGGCCCTTGATAGAGAGAGGGCACGATCTCAGGCTATACGTGAGCTGCTGCTCACCTACTCATCAGTGAAGTCTGGGAAGCTAGTCACAACCGCGTTCCATCCAAGATAAATCAATCAAAAGCCCTTTTGGTTCTGAAATGGTTGATCCCAGTATAACATGACCATCTAGGTTTAAGCAAACGTTTCAAACATACCCCTTGGAAATGAGGAATTCGACAACAGATTCTCTTGAGCTCTCTATAGCTCTCATCAGAGGTGTTCCACCGTTAATTGTTTGTGCATCCATTTCTGCTCCATGTTCAAGAAGTAACTGGACAAGATCAATCTGCCCCGAGTGGCAAGCATGATGCAGTGCCGTCCACTTGAAGTTATCTCGAGCATTGATATCAGCACTGGAAAACAAAAACCAAAAAAAAGAAAGAAATCAGAAGTCCTTCACTGGTGCTAGAAAGTCATTTATCATTTATTTATCTTGTACAACAGAACAAAAAATAATGCTTCTCCTAATAATCAACAACGGAAATCGTTTCAAATCACTGCACAATAAAATTTAGACAAAAAATAAAGCTGTTCTTGCTCTTTAGAATTTAAACCTAATTGTTACCATGACACTTTTGGCAATTGCATAAGAAAAAGTGCTTTAAGGAACCCAGGAAAATTCACTTAGCATCACTTTCATTGACAAAGCCAGCTTTAAGAAGACGGATGAAGAGGTCGAATATTTGATATTTTTTTCGTAACTGTCTGTCAGAGCTGAAACTTTGCCTGCACGCATTTAAATTTATCAGTGTTGACAAAAACAGAGTTTCTATTCTCAAAAATCTCAATGGCCAATATAAGCAGCAGCAGTGAGTAAAAATCTTGATTTTCCAGTTTACTTACCCGATCTGTATCAAATACCGAGCTACATTAATGTTTCCATGCGCACAGGCGGCCATAAGTGGAGTCTTGTAGTACTTATCCCGTTGATCAACAGGTATTCCTCTGGCAAATGCTGACTTCAGTGTCTCTACATCGCCTACCTTCGCCGCATCACTAATATTCATGTAAGTAATATCTGAAAGACATTCAGTTTAAATCCTGTTTAATGAGCGGAGATAGTTGGATTAAGTACACGTTTTGCTGCTGTACATTAGTTTGGTTTTGAGACGTGCTGTGTTTTCACCTTCATATGCCTTTAAAACACTTAACATTTTAGAAAAAAAAGCGTTATGACAGTTCTTTGGACACGGCCAAAATCTGATTTTGACAGATGTTGAGAGTTTCGATAGCCGTCAACTGATACCCATTTCGAGCCATGGGAAGGGGGGAGAGGCTCAAAAGACTGCCATTGTGGGTTTCGATATGATCGGAATAAACAACTAATGAGGATACCAATAGTTTTCACAAAGATGGCTAACCCCTGAGCAATCAAAATTGGCAAAATTTGCAAAGGACAAATGTTTAAAATTTTGGTTATTTCTACCTTAATTAATTTCTTCAAGAGACAAGAAAATACCATACGATTCTATCCACTAACACAACAGTTAGAACAATATCGCATGCCCCTTTCAGTGAATCTTTTAGTGGCTGTGACGGTTACTTTGAGCACATAAGCATTGCCAATCCCAAAAAGACGGTATCTACTCCTCACGAATGTAGAACTGCTGAAATTAGAAAACTAAAACTAACTTAAATGTAAACTAAAAACTCATTTGTTTGGTATTGCTTCTTTATAGTTCTGTGGACTATTGTTGGTAGTAGATTGTTAAATTAATATTTTAAATTAGATTGAGTACAAACCTGGAAAATTGAGATACCATGAAGAATCATCTTGTATTGGATGTGATGGTGGATTGTCTCTATCGAATCTGGTGTTGTCTGTGAAATGCTGTGGATGTAATTCAACAATTAGTGTTCATTAACATACAGTATACTGATTCAAATAGATGGCCCTTTAAGAAATTAATTTAGTGATGATGTGGAAATTCACATCTTTAACAATAAGAACATGAAATTAAAATTTATGAATATGAAAGCAGGCCCTAAGATGACTGTGTTTTCATTTAATATTTCTACGGTAGACAAAAAATAAGCACAACTATTTGACTTTATCAGCGGACGAAAGCCACCAGGCATAATTTCTAATTCCAGAACCTGTCTTCTAGCAGGGCGCAGTCTAGTGACTTACTTTAGGGAGATTAAAATGCCACAAAAAGCACTTGGTTTAGAATAACAAAATGACAACTTTGCGCATGCACATGCAACCAACTTGTTGGCCACCATATTCAAGCATGTCAGTGTTGTTTTGACATTATTTCAGGATGATGAACATACCACATATCTCTCCACATAATCAGCTGGAGGGCCTCCGTGTCTTGTCCGAGGACCATCTGGTGCTGTACAGATAGGAACTGGGATTTTCGTCTTACCCTGAAAAATAAACCTTATAGTTAAAACTAGTTGTTATACGTGTACTTTGGTTAAAACTAGTTATTAATGAACTTAACAGGGTTGAAGAACCTTTTCACAGTCAAGCTATTCAGCAAGTTCCGCCTATTATGTTTTACTTTCACCACAAAGAAAGCAAAAAAAAAAATGTAACAATTAATTATAGATCATACTAAGCACAGTAATATATGGAATTAGCACTGCTGTAATCTAGTTTAATATTTGTAAGTATTGCCATGTAAGTGTGTAAATTCGCTACTTGTTTTTTTTTCTTTTTATTACTTTATTTATTCTGGGTAAATTTTTTTTCTTTTCTGTGTGTGTTTTACTTGCAATAAAAAAAAACAAAAACAAAAAAAACAAAAACAAAAAAAAAAACAAACAAACAAAAGTTCCACCTATTATTTAGAGTTACTTACTAAAAAGGAGAATATTGCATTATGCTGTTAAAAAAACCTGGCTCATATTGAAGTTTGAGGCCTTGCGACAGAAACATTGTAGTGAATGGTAAGAGGCTGATTACTGACATCAGCCTTAAAACAGTTTGTAGGTAAGATACAATAATATTATTATTGCTGTAGGGTTTGCACTCACTTTGACTTCACAGGAATTTCCTACAATTTCCTGCGAAAAATTTTCATTTAAAAAACACTGAACCCTTCTTCTTTAGCCCAGAACAACTCACCTATCTCGCACTTTTCTTCACAGTTTTGTAAATGGATATTGGAAAGGGAATAATGTTTTTCCTTTGCTGTTCAAAGGTGATTTTTCACATTTTTCAGTGGACCTACAGATTTATGATTTAGTTCATGCCCAAAACTATTTCTCGCAACACTCCCAAATAAAGGGATGAAAAAGTCAGTGCACAATAACACTGCACTATATCCAGCCATGTAGCCATTATACTTAAAGCAAACAGTTACCTTTTTCTTCTTTCCTTTTTTTCCACCGCCTTTTTTCTTTTTTTTCTATAACAAACCACCAAGTGAGAGAAATGTCAAAAGAGAACACTACACATGTATGTACATGTATGTGTAAAATGTGTATGACTCAAAACTCAGCAAAGTTAATTACCACGGTCACAAAAAATTGAAAAAGAAAAATTAAAACCAAATGTTTTTGAAAGCATTCATTTTTTATTTTAACATTTTTTAGCCTTGTAAAAGTGATTAACAATATCACTCTATCAATAATTAATGTAAATCATCATCATCAACAACAATATTATTGTCATTCAGCAGAGCTACAAGTGCAGCAGAGTAGGTTTCAGTAAGAAGTTTGTGGTAATTAAAAAAATAAACACTGTATAAATTTAAAGCAATACCTTTCCAACTACAACCATAAATTGCTGCAACAGAGAGAAAAATAAAGGTTAACTTTAGTTTTCCAAAGTCTGAAAATGTTCTCTGCACATTTATAATTCATTATTATAGCTTATACATGGCTAGAAAATAATCAGTCTTGCACTTTGCTTTCAATAAAAATTGCTTTTTCAAGGACAAAATTCCTTATACATACCTTACTAATAAATTTTTTACAGCTAATAAACATTGGATAATCTAAAGCATCTTCTTTATTAGGGTCATGAACTTGAGCCAGTTTATTCAAATCCTCTACATCTACCGGACAATCTGTAAACAACAAAAGCACACATACATCTGTATTAGCACTACATTAATTTAAACTTCTGTTATAGTACCCATGATATATAATTAATTGGCAAAGCTGTAACTAGACTTTCTTCATTATTACGGGTCCACATCTACGTTACAGATTAAGACGGAATCCATATTCAGGAAATTGAGTAATTTTAATTTTCAGTGGACAAAAACCTTGTAGCAGAATAATTCTTTTTACGCTTTCTAAGGGCTCAAGATATACACTTGTAATTAGTTATCTGTAAAAACACCAGTCCAAGAAAATAACTTTCAAGTGTCACAAGAATTGTGAAAACACAGATAAAATAATTTTTCCTGATGGATTCCCTGATAATATCATTCAGAGCAACAGCCAGTTGCAAAAATATTGAGACATGAAGTATCTGTAACCCACACATAGGAACCTTGCTTGACTTGCTTGGCTAAACAAGATCTTTTTTTCTACATTAAGGTAATAAAATGATGAATTTCTAGCCTGCAAGCGGGTTGTGAAACCACACAGGTCTTTAAGTTTTGTATCAATTGGCAACTGGTTCTGGCTGAAATAATAGATGTATCTCGAGTAAACAAGTATTTTCTAACTTTTAAATCTGCAAAGAAAATTACAAACGTGCATTTTTGCTGACTCAATAACTTACTTATAGTCTGTAAACACATGACAAAGTTGTCCTTAGTTATTTTTCCTTGTCTACTCCCATCTTCCTCCTCTGGATCAAACTGATAAAAAATACTCAGCACTTTTTCCTCATGTTCTTGGATCCAGTCATAAAGCTACAAAAGAGAAGAAAACAAAACTATAAACAATCAACCTACAATCATCTGTACATAACTATGTACATGTATTAAACATTGGGTCCAATAATGTGGTTACTATAATGCTGGTCAACTGGATCAAGGGACTGCAGCAGGGCATTCATTAGGCATTGGAGGACAGTACTACGCAGAATTCTTCGGTTAATGTTAAGACTATTTTTTATTCAGACGTCGAGCATCTTTCAAACTATTCTCTTGTAACATTACACCTTTCTCCAGCTACTAAAATTCTATATGAAACCCCTACCTGCAGCCTTAACCTTCTAATTGACTAAAGTGACAAACATCAGTTTTCTCTTAACAATATAAATACATGATCAAGACATAAGGTAATGAGAATTCATATGATCACCTAAAGGAAAATGTTTTGATCTTTAATCAAATTCTCTCCACTGATTCTTTAAGGAAATGTATGGAGATAATTCTAGAGAATTTGCATGTGGATACTGGGGCTTAAAAGGTTAATAAATGTGATTACCACTTGCTTCCAATAATACCTACTCTGATAGCATAAGGCTCCCCTGTTCTACTTCCGCCTTTCGACAACTTAGCAGACTGTTTTTCTGCCTTACGACATTCTTTAAGAGCATCTTTATGCTCATTATCCTTTGCCAACAGTCTGGGTGTTTTTCCTTCTTTGTTCTTTAATGTTGATGGACAACCTGTTAGCAAGAAGGAATTATGCTTGTCCAAACAAATTTAAAAAATACACTATAGTCAAAAATTAAGTTTCACAAATGTGTCTGACTTCAAAAATGTGAAAAGACAAAGAAAAGTATACTTAAAACAGACATTTAGAAATTATTGTTTTTTTTCCAAAGGTAAGGGTCAACACATTTAGCACAGAAAATTCCTTGAGAATGCTATGTGGTAATGTGATCACGCCCAACCGGACAGAGGGCTCACTACAATTTCTGCGGAAGGAACTAAATCACATTGACGTACATTGTAAATCAGTTTAAGTGACCAGTGGCTACAGAGAAAACAAGGTTTGTAGGGTTATAGTCAACTCGCTCTTACCGTACAGCTATAACAGCGATTTAAACCAACTGACCTCTTTGTGCCAGAAATTTGCATATGGGTCCAAATCCCTGTTGAGCAGCATAGTGCAAAGGAGTGTTACCATCCAAAGCAACTTTACCAAGATCAGCACCATAAGCTGCCAAAACTCGAATCACTTGAAAGTGCCCATTCAAAGCTGCCCTATGAAAAAAACAAATCAACTAGTTAAATTCCCATACAAGTGATGAGTATATAGTTGACAAGAGATGACTGTGTGGTACCATAGTTAAGAACTGTACACAGTACTCATACTTTCTGTCAAGTATGGTGTCAGCGGTTGTCATGCGAGCATGGCGTGCTTTTCTCAGCTCTGTTAATTTTACTTTTATAGTTAACTTTTTTCGTGCTTTTTCGTTGTCTCTTATTTACCTACTGTACCAGAATGGTAAACTGCTAAGATGGAGCGAGAAAAAACTAAAATGGAGGTGATGTTGAGATCCATTCTGGATGAAATCTTAGAATCCAAACTGACGACCATCTTGTCATCCATCTTGGACGCAAAGCTGAAGACTTATGAGGAATCGATGAACTTCTTTAATACAAAATTTGAAACAATGAAAGAAAAGATGGATGGCTTGGAAGAACAAGCAAAGACTTTAGCTCAAGAAAACAGGCGCCCGAGAAGTGATTCTGCTAAAATGAAGAAAGAGATCAGCGATTTACGTTCTGCCATAGACGAACAAGCTCAATACACGCAAGGCGATTGTCTCGAAATTAGAGGAGTCCCTGTAACAACTGGAGAGGATACAAACGTAATTGTCAAGAAAATTGGAGCGCTAATTGATGTTGATATTAATGATACAGATATTTCGATCAGTCATAGGATTCCTTCTTCTAACGACAGAGCATCAGGGTCTACATCATTTCGACATCCAGCCATGGTGGTCAAATTTACCAATCGAAAGAATCGGAACCTTTTTTACAAAGCTCGATCTAAGTTGAAAAGCTATAATACAAGTGACATTGGCCTGGGGCGCAATGGTGAGAGCAATATATTTATTCAAGAAAGTCTAACGGAAGCGAAAAGAAATTTGTTTAAGAGTTGCCTCAAATTTCGCAACGATCAGAAATATAAGTTTATTTGGACACATTATGGAGGTTGTATAGGCACTACCTGAAGACACGTACGTGTTACAGTCATACCAAATTCAAATGCTATCGAAACAAACTAAATCATCTACTTAAACTAAGTAAAACCAATTATTATAAAGAATATTTTGTGATCAACAAGGCAAAAACAAAAGGAATTTGGAAAGGAATAAAGCAACTTATATGTCTCAAGTCCAAAGGTTCCACCTTGCCTAGCAAATTAATTATTAATGAACATGAGATTACAAATCATAAAGTCATTGCTGATCAATTTAATAAATTTTTCCCTAACATTGGAAAAAACTTGGCCTCAGCTGTACCAAAACCAAATCTTGCATTTGATTATTATTTCTAGATAAACCCCAGGCCTCTAGTTTTTTCTTATCACCTACTAATTCGACTGAGATTGAGAATATAATTATGTCCCTAAGTTCAACCAAGGCTTGCGGCCCACTTATTATTTCAACCTCCCTTCTTAAGACTTTAAAAAGTGTTTTATCAGTCCCTCTTCAGCTGCTCTTTAATTGCTCATTCTCTACTGGTATGGTGCCAGATCAATTTAAAGTAGCCAGAGTAGTTCCAATTCACAAAAAAGGGTCCAGCTGTTTAGTCTCCAACTATAGACCTCTTTCCCTGCTTTCTATATTCAGTAAATTAATTGAAAAAATAATGTATAATAGAATTATTAGCTATCTTGAGAAATTTTCTATTTTATACAATAATCAGTTTGGTTTTAGATCAAAGCTTTCAACCATCCATGCTCTTCTCCTCTTGACCGATAAGATACAGAGATCAATCGATAATGGCACCTATTCTTGTGGCATTTTTTTAGACTTATGTAAAGCATTTGATACTGTCGATCATAAAATTTTATTAACCAAGTTGGAGTATTATGGTATACGACGTGTTGTAAATGATTGGTTTGCATCATATCTAAGTAACAGAAGACACTTTGTCTCTTTTTTTGGTACTGATTCTGATTACCAAACTGTTTCATGTGGAGTACCACAGCGGTCAGTGCTTGGCCCTCTTCTGTTTCTTTTATATATAAATGATCTGCCTAAATGCTCCAACATGTTGGATTTTCACCTTTTTGCAGATGATACAAACCTGTTTCTTGACAATACTAACATTCTAAATTTAGAAACCAACCTAAATGTGGAACTAGATAAGGTGAGCCAGTGGTTATTTGCTAACAAATTATCTCTGAACATTGAAAAAACTAGCTTTGTGGTATTCCATTCTCCGCAAAGACGAATAGCTTATAAGTTGAATCTTAATATCTCCAATATGTCTGTTAAACCTGATAACCAAGTTAAATATCTAGGACTCATTTTTGATTTTAATTTGAACTGGAAACTGTACTTGCACGAATTGAGCAAGAAGATTTCAAGAGGTATTGGGGTACTATCTAAAATTAGACATTATGTAAAAGGAAACATATTACTTCAATTATATTATTCACTTATTTACCCCTTCCTCAACTACGGTTTATCAATTTGGGGCAATACTTATAGTTCTACTCTCAGACCTTTGATAATTCTTCAAAAAAAGCAACACGTAAAATAACTTTTTCGGAACCAGGTGATCACTCTGAGCCTCTTTTTAAGAAATTAAACATTCTTAAATTAACTGATCTTGTTACCCTTCATAATGCACTCCTTATGTATAACTATCACCATAATCTTCTTCCACCTTCCTTTGAAAATTTCTTTGAAACGGTAGCATCCATACACTCATACAATACCAGGCTTGCTTCTAAATCAACCTATTACCTCAATACTATCAAAACAAACTATGGTAAATTCAACTTTCGCTTTGCGGCTGTAAAAGTTTGGAATAACCTTGATGAAAGCATTAAACACCTCCCCCTTAAATCCTTTAAAAACAAAGTCATATTAAACATCTTACAGTCGTACTGTTCGTGAGTCTTTAATTGTATTTAAAGATTTTTTTTCTTTCTTCTTTTTGTTTTTCATTTTTTTTCCTTTTATCTATTTACTAATTCCTTGTTTGTTCTAGCTTTAGTGCCAACCTACCTCCTATGCCTGAACATTATTTAGCTTTACTCAGCTCGATTAGCTTTTCAGTTATTCTGAGTAAATGTTACCTTTTTTTGTATTAATATATTATATTGTAAATTAAGTTTAACTTTTATTTGGTAATAAAGCTTATGTTGTTGTTGAAAATTCTTTCATATCAAGTACTGAATTTATTCTATAGGAATTGGCCAATGATGGCTACATGTGATAGGACCCCTTAATTCTCAAACTGTAGCTAGGTACAGCATAGGGGTAGATCCAGGGAGGTGTATGGGTGGCTAACCATTCCCCTTGATGGCCAACTAACATTTCTGTGTTATGAGTTATATCAAGTCTTGCCAGTGAGACTCCATTATTTTAGGGTAGTATTGTATAGTACTTTTTCGATTTTGTGACATTGAAAGAATTTCCATTTTTAGGTTCCTATTCATCATCCGTCAATGTAAATTTTGTGAATGCCATAGGACAAATTAAAGTCAATGTTCTGTTTTGTGGTTGATTGGAGTCAACCACCTGAGTCTCTTACAAAAACCTGGACCCTACTCTGAAAGGGCACTTCTTCAAGAAAGGGTTACCAAGGTATTTGAACATTTCTGTGCCACCAGGGTGCAAAGAAAGTCAGTTTTACAGCTTGCCACTTGGGCAAGCTGTAGCTAGCACGTACTAGCCCAAAACTCATTTCAAATGTTTTTCTAGCGCACCGCTGGGGACCTGGGTATAGGTCATGTGACTGAAGGGTGGGCAGTTGCTTTTGTTGCGTCCACCATTACTGACCTTCCCACCCACCCAACCTAAGATTTCAGTTTTGTATGCTGTTAAATGTAGGGTGCAACTTTGTAGTTTTGTTAGCATCCTACCTTTCTCTTTCCTTTCTCTTTTAAAATAAAGGTCAGGCTGTGGCGGTCGGCTTGGCATGGCTACCAGTGGTGCATGAGAAAAAAATTGTTGATGTGCATTGGTTACAGTTCTTCTGTAATTTGAATTCCCCCAAAAAACTTCATTTGCCGGTTGGGCAAGTTAAGAACAGAAATCACTAGCCCAATAGCAAAATCCACTAGCCCCGGGCTATCGGACACCACTTTCTTTGCACACTGGCCACTTACTTTGGATTTTTTTTCTCTTGGACATACAATCTTTTTTCATTGTTTTACTGTTGTCATAATGATGCTTAACATCACTGCCACTTGACGTTTCAGTTAGTTCTGTTCCTTGGGTTGGTCTGTCTCCCAGTTATGCTACTTTTAACACAACTACAGGAAAAATTATTTGCTTTCAAAGTTTGTCAAATGAGTTACAAATTTTTTAAGTCACAACTTGAAAGACATGATGACCGCATGATATTTGAGGGGTCAGAGTGGAGGGACGTACTTTCTGGAGAACTAAATATAGCAATGTTTTTATGGATTTGGAATTTGAAATCAACATGATGGTAGTTTAAATCATGAGTTTCTACTCACTTGTGGGCTGAATGGTTATTTTCACTGTCTACTGCATCATAGTCAGCTCCAGCCTCCAAGATCTCCCTAACACACCCTACACTTCCAGCTGCACAGGCCGCATGAAGGGCTGTCTGGCCAGTTATCTGACATTTAAAAGGAAAGTAAAATTACAGAAAAATGTTTAATTGCACTTGAATTCTCTGTTTTCAAAAATAAAAATACAAACCATTCAATATACATAAAGTCTAGAATCTGGTAAATGAAAGAATATTATTATCTCTTATGTGAGATACAAAGTATAATTTGGGAAAATGTTTTACTCAAATTTATAAAGCTTTGTATGGAGACACCATGTTGATGTCCCTTTGAGGGGCACAAATGTGGCCACAGGAAACCAACAAAAACATATATACTGTCTTTCAATTTATTCCTACAAATGCATGAATTCATTGCTTGGGGAACTCATAAATATTAAAATTATATTTTTTCTGAGACAAGGAATGTTTAGATAGCAAAATCTCAAAAAATCGGTAGCTAAATGCCACTTCACACAAGAGCCTGGAAATTCAAGCGTCCTCTGATCTATTGCAAAATGAAGAACCCTTTCGACCTGAAAATTTGTATGAATAATGATGTTTAGCTGTGCTTAAATACCTTATGAAAGTAGAAACACAGAAGAATCAATAATTCCCTAAGCTTGAATTTTGGTGATGTTACGTGAAAACCGAGAATCATAAAGCAGTATGGAAAACCTGACTACATGACATTGTGTCCAAAATAATGTTGTGTATACTGCTCTTGCATGTATGTTTATAGGCAATTTTCTTGTCCTAAATTGAGGGCGGTAATCAGCATTATATTTTCATAAGCTCATTTAAATGTAAACAATATTGTAACATACAGCATGAACACTATTTGGATCTGCTCCAGCAATAAGAAGTGCAGCTACAATGTCATCAAGTCCAGCTTCTGCAGCCACCAACAGTAAAGGCTGACCATCTTTACTCTAGTTTAAAAACAAGGGAAAGAATTCAAATTAAAATAAAAATTAAAAGTAGCTTATGGATTGGGAAATATTCATATTAACTTATGAGTACCTTGGTTGTTTTAGGGAAAGCAAGTGGGAGAAGGGGTTGAAACAGGGAAGTTTCACATTGCAGTTGGCACCATTAGTAGCTGATCAGGTCTAAGGTTTAAGAGGGTCTGTTATTTTGCACACTCAGTAAGGAAAGAAAATACTCTTGCAGTAGTACTGCAGAGATGCCAACCTCTGGAGATCTAAAATCTGGAGACTCTCTATTTTTCACTACTGCCCCCAGAAATTCAATGAACCCCTGCCCCCCTCTCCCCACCCCTGACAAATATGGAAATAACTAAGGACACTATTTGAAGTCTTACACGAAGTACATACGATCATTGTTTTGACACCAGAAATAATCTTTGTCAGTGATTAAATTGGTGCAAAAATGCCCCAGAAACTGTACTACAAATAAGAAAAATTCAAGTTTTGAGCTATAAATAAGCTAACTCTCAGGAAACTAAGGCACAGAAAAGCTCAAAAGATGATTTTATCCCAGAGATAAGGTGGCCTGTACAGGAGACCAGGAGTTTGTGTTGTATCTGGGAGACTTCCAGATAATCCGGGAGAGTTGGCATGTATGTACTGGTATATCAAACCTACCACGTAATTCACACTGGCACCATGATTCAGGGCAATCTGTAGACATTCGAGATGACGCTTTGTAGGCTGGATACAGTAGAAAAGTATTCCCTTCCCTTCAACGTCTCTGACTGTCAAAGAGAAATGTTATCATGTTTACTGATAGTTATTAAATTATAAAACAAAATTATTTCATTTACGTAAGCAAATTGCTTTGGTGTACACTGTAATAGGTATAGTCAAATGAACAAGTTGCAAATTAAATTATAATCATTTTTGAATAAAATTATTTCAAACAAAAATTATATTAAATTCCTTACTTGTCAAATCTGTATCTGCCTCTGTTAAAAGAGTCAGTGCCTGGACATGGCCAAACTCCGCTGCTCGCATGGCAGGACTCCGCCCTTTCAAGTCTACCATGTTTGGACTTGCACCAAGATCAAGAAGAAATGAGATCATCTTCTTGTTATTCTTGCATGCAGCCAAATGAAGACCTGTCTCACCATTCTCAGGTTCTAGATTAACAAGTAAAATACAAATACAAAGCTCAGTTTATGTTTCCAGGAATTTGTATCCTATCCTACAAGCCAGCACTCTGTTTGGAGATTGCAAGAGTCATTGGCACATTAGCCTGCAAAAACATGTTTCTCCTCGCTCTTCGCCACTGGGGACGTTTCGCACGGAGGAACATCTGTGACTCAGTGGCAGAAATTCCATACTGATGACGCAAATCAATGTTGACATAATAAATCCGGTAGTCATGGGGTTCTAAATATAAATTTGTCCAATTTTACGTGACTGTGTCTCCTAGTAGATTTTGGTAAAGTGTTGTGTTCAGCTGCCAACGAACTTCAGCAAAACTCAAATACTTCTTCTAGAGAAGAGTATATTCCACAAATATTGACCCTTTTGCTAGAGATTCTTCGCGTTTACATTTGACTTTTGTGGCCTTTTGTCTTTTGTCTGTCATTCATAAACAATCCCTAAAATTCCGTCTGTCGACCAATCAGCGCTGTTGACAGGATTCCGGACAGATTTTTCGTCATCAGTATGGAATTTCTGTCGCTGAGTCCCAGACGCTCCTCTGCGCGAAACGGAAACGAAAGCCTGGCAGGGTTTTCAGGGGCATAGCCAGGATTTTTCCAGAAGTATGCACAATTTTCCAAATCTGCCTGCTCCACCTGCTCCCCTAGCCCCCTTCCCCTAAAAGTCCCAAATTATTTTCAGGTGTCACCATTATAGGTGAGGTCTTGGGGTTCCAAACTAATCTGTGCTTGGTAGCAGTTGAAACTTTTTGTGATGTAAACACTTCCTTGCGTCCTTATAACTTTGCATAACTGCTGGCCATGTGAGTGAGGGGCGCTGTACACAGACAAATTTTAAAATAATTATCTTATGTTCATTTGGATTTTCTGTTATTCACTTTTTAAAAATTTATTTGGTTTACTTTTCTTCACTCTCTAATTTTTCAGCTACACATGTGTGTACATACAGGTAGCTATGCCCCTGGTTTTACATGTACTTGAGTGGCATATCAAGTTTCCTGAGGGTAACTGTGAGACACATATTGGTAGTACTTAAATGGAAAGTTTGCTCACAGGGTACAGAAACTGTATCCCAGTTTTAATTCCATCTCTGTCAATTTTTTAATGTTTCGTGGATTAAGTCAGTGACATGATGGCTTTGTGAAGGTTAGAGATGTATTATTGTAAGATACCAATGTGCTTTTTCATTTCTTTAGTACTTTGTAAATTGGTGCCTATTGACTTAAACTTCTACATCTGGAAGCAAATCTAGAGATGCAACAAATGCAAATTATTTGGACTCTTGGTTAATTATGATCAGGAAAACTTGACCGGCTACCATTTGTTTAGCTCAAACTTGCAAGATCTCCACACAATCAGTCAATAATTGTCTTCGGCTGTGTTTATACTATTTGGCTGGCCACTTTATAAGCTTAAATAAATGAGTGACAGTAAGACATATCATACAATGGGCAAATCACCAAATCACTAACACTGTGCGCTAAATTCAGTTCTGTCGTCTATTTTGGAGCTGAACAAAGTCAAAAGGCGTTGTGACCTGATCTATTGATCTCCTAATCCATTATATTAATCTTTTTGTCTATAATAAAGGTGTCTTTCTAAATGCTTGCGATGTATTACAAAGAAAGCAGACTGTTAAAGAATCACTGAGTAAAATTGACAGACAAGATTTAAATCTGTTTTAATCCCAGTACGTACGATGTTGGAAATTTGAACCTGATCTTACAGAAAGCGCTTGAATGAAACTTAGATTTTGGTGGGAAGTTTCCACCAGCATACAGCGATAAAGTATCTTTTCAAAGCAGCTGTTAAAATCTCCAATCGCAACTTGATCTGTATGAACAATCTTCAATAAAGTAAACTCTTGTTTATTAAATTTCCCGCCCTGCAGAACCCAAACAAATATATAGATACTCGCGCGAAAATCTATGGCGACGAATAACACCTCTGCTCTTCGCCAGTTACTAGGTTAATTGATTTTGTATTAACATAAAGAACTTCCTTCACTTACCAGAATAGTTGATCAAATAAGGAACTCCGTGAGTTGTCAGCTTCTCGATTTGATCGACATCCTCGTTGCGAACCGACTGAAGTAACTTTAGAACTTGAAGTTGTTCTAAACGATCTTGGGCAATCGGCATTGTTCTAAATGGCCGCGACGAGGCAGCGCAAATTATAGGCGCTTTTATTTCTCTCTATAAGAAAGGATGAAAGACTCCTTCGCGTGAACTTAGACTTTACACAGCACGGAGAATTCATAAGAACGACCGCACAAGCTGGAAGTTATAATGTCACTTTGCACTTCATCTTAGCGTTTGCCTGTCTCCAGCTGTCGTTGTTAGGGAATTTTTGGCCTCCGAAAAACATCAACGAGCGTTTTGACGGTTCTGATTGGCTGATATAGGTCATTATTTCCGGGTATCGAAAGGCATTAACTGAATAGGTACTGCCAGTACTTACTTCTGATTGGCTAGCCTTGGCCTTTTATCGTAGGTGCTCAGGAGGATAAGAAGAATAAGGACTTTTATCTTACCCAGGAACCCCTTCAATCCTAGATACTTTCAAAATGGCGTCCGAACCTGCCGATGTCACATTAGAAACCTCCATGGTATGTTTTTCTTGTCCTCTAGAAAGCAACTGTCTTTGTGTTATTTCATTCGCTGTTTCTGTTACTCTCTAATACAAATCACCTGTGAAGCGTGTATTACTGCGTACCTATATACACCTTGATAACGAATTTGGTCGTCACACGAGTCTTATTATTGTGCATTTCAAGGGTGAAATTAAATGTGAATTATACTGGAAACATGCCCCCAGGACTTGCAGAAATTTTAGAGATTTGGTGAGTATTTACCTGGTTGCTGACTTTTATTGATCATGTCAGAAAATAATATTATTGAATGTCCCTTCAAGTGTCGTTGTGGTGGACAAGAAAAAACTTCACAATGGCTAAACTTTAGAACACGCAGACACTATAAATCTCTCGAAGAGCTGCTTTTTAATCTACTAGACGTCCAAATTTAACAAAAAAAGAGCTAAAAAATAAATTCAAAGTGTATTTTTATGATTCATATCTTCATTCTTCAGCATTTACAAAGCTTAGTAATTTTTCATGCTCTTAGTCTTTAAGTAAAAGTAAACTAATTTTTAAGGGCTGGGGGAGCTGCTGTTTAAAAGGGTTTACGCCGGTTTCGCTACTTGTCGAGTTTGCTACGTTCGAGTTGGCTACATGTTATCACATTAATTTTGGGCGCTTGACGTCTTATTGGCGTTATTTAAACAGTATGTGAAGTTCAAGCACAGCATTACAATTTACTTTAACTTACAGTTAGCAGCAAGTTTGAACGGTTTGCTGATGTGGTGAACTTGACAAGTACATGTAGCGAAACCGGCTGTTACCATTTTTAGTTAATTACCTAATGTAGATAGATTTGTCATGACGCGTCTAGCGTGACATGCCATATATGGGCATGCATGCTTCATGCATGATGTAATCTCGAGTAGAGCACATTTTGTGATTAAAAAAAGAAAGACTTAAATGAATCTTTGTGTACCTGCATCCCATTTTATCACAAGATTTATCGACTGCAAATGCAGGGATGTGGGAGCAATCATTTTTTCACCCAATTATGTATAAAGTTCATTCATTTTCGTCCTTATCCGAGAAGACTAGAAAGTCTGAGCATTTTGCAGATGTCATGTCAAAGGAGGCACTTTCTTCTCAGTTATTTAAAGACCCTGAGTGTTGGTCCGGCGGGGCTTCGAACCAGCGACCTCCAGCTCAACAGACCAGTGCTCTCCCAACTGAGCTAACCAGGGGATGGTATTATGGTTGTCACAGGTCAGGAGATAGCCAGGGAAAAAACTTACTCTGAAATTACTAGTTGTAGGAGACAGTACATGTATAAATCTAGTAAAAAGGTATGGTCAAATCATTAATTCACAGTTTAGTGGTTAGAATACTCAGTGGGTCTTTGAGAGCAAGAAATCAAGTTTTTCTTGACTCAGTGTATTTTTGTCACCCACCTTTAATAATAATATTATTGTTTTAACAGGCAGCGAGAGGATATTATAATAACTGCAAGTTTCACAGAGTTATAAAGGTAAGAGAAAAGAACAGGAGAAAAATTTTAACAGTAAAAGAGTAACACAATATATTACTGATAATCCATTAGTTTTCATTGTGGCCTATAAATATGGCCAGAAGCAAATATATAATATAAACACAATTATGATTGACGGCAACAAAAAACTCCATCGTGAAGGTAGCCTGAAATTCATCCGATTGCTTCGAGTCGTTTTCTCCTCTCAACAACGTCTGAATCGACGGGCCGTTAATGCCGTCCAGTGACGTCACTCACTACCCGAAAACCGGGTAGTGATTTTGATTGGTTGATTGTCTAAACATTCGCATAATTATGTATAATTATGAAAAATTTTAGTGCGATTGTCACTTGATATTCAGCGGATGGCATCCCCGGCATTCTTTCGTTTAGTTCAAACATTTCGATAAGCTTAATCTTTATCTTAACCAGCAAAATTACCCTTGTCTTCGAAACTGAAGTGCTAAATTGAACTGCGAATGAAGAATCATTGCAGAGAGTGGGTAGGTTTTTCATTTAGAGCCGCTTTGTAGTTTCGGCGGCCGGTGATTTTGTTTACGCGAAGTTTTCTGAGATCAATGTTATAATTCGACCTTCTTACTATTTTTACCGTCAAGTGTAATGATTCTGTTAGCTTTTCTTTCTTGTCTCCTTGTTTTTTTTATTCGTTAATTAAAGCAAATCATTGTGTTTTTGAACTAAGTGTTCCGTGTGTGTGTTTATTTCATTTGCGTGATTGCGACCGAGTTTGATATTTATAGAATTTAGTACAACCGGTTCAGAGTTGTACTGCATGCAGTTGATAGTTTGAACGTTAAACATGAATTACAATCGAAAAAAATAAAGCAGTCCTGTATCATGCAGACATTTCCAAACGATATTTCTCGGTTTGCCACTTGAAAATCGTGTTTTACTTTTTGCATGAATTAAAGCAAAGGTCAAGGACTAGTGACGTCACTGGACGGCATTAATGGCCGTTCGATTCAGACGTTACTGAGGGAGTAATAACGACTCGAAGTAATCGGATGAAATTCAGGCTATCGTGAAGGCGGCTTTTGAACTTCATAGTTCGTGCATTTTTGAAAAGCACAGTAAATTTATACATGCAAATTTTTTTTAAAGATTGTTTTCTTGCACACCCAGTGATTTTGTTACAAATAGTTATGTTGAGTTTTGGGACTCATCCTGTGAAAAATCATGAGTCCCAGTCCAGATCTGATGAGTCCCAGTTCAAAAACACAAGGAGTTATGCTTGGGCTTTTATGTAACCAGACAGTAAATCTAGAGACAACTCCAAACTCTTTATTAGAGTTTACTGAAAATATTGAAATCTAGCCCTTCTATATAATTAAAGCACAATAATATTAAAAGACTATTAAAATAAATATACATGTAATATAACTTTAAACAACAGCCACAGAAATTACACGTACAGGATAGTCTACCAAAATATCTTCAAATTGACTGATCGTTCTTTGCATCCTATGGAATGCATGCCGTGAATTATTTTGTGTCTTAGGGGAATTTTTATGTGTCAGGGATGCAGGACGCAGGGGTAACAAAATCAGTGACACCTCACCATTATGGACTTGTGCTACTACAGAAACTAACTAAAAGAGGTTCTTCTGGAGTTGACTGTCAAATAGGATGTTATGCCAGAAAAAAGATAACTCCTTATGTGCTCATTTTTTGTTATAGGGTTTCATGATCCAAACAGGGGATCCTACAGGGACTGGAAAAGGAGGTGCCTCTGTGTATGGGTGAGTATGCTTAAAAAGTCTCTAAAAGTATTGCAATAACACTTTAAAACAGTTAACCCAAAATCTGCAAACTTTTTTTCTGAGTGACCAACTGTCCAAAACACCAAAATTTTACCAGTTAAAGCCCTATTAGAACACCTTATGTAAACCACTATCACTTGTAAGCGACCAAGATCTTAAACACAAAAAGAGAAGTTTTGTATCTCAGCCTGGCCATGTAATATCCTCTATGTCACTAGCATACATGTAAAGTGCGGTATTCTTTTATGCAATAGGCCTGCTTTTGAAGATGAAATAACAAGAGAATTAAAGCATACAGGTGCAGGAATTCTGTCAATGGCAAATAGGTAACAATCATTTTCCTTTAAACAGGATGTATAGCAATCTGTAATCTTGTAGTTCAAGTTCGTATCATTCTTATGATTTTATTGCACTTTAATTTGCCTTTTGTTTGAGTGTTTAGGTAGTTGATTTTGTTGGCTGTGCTTAAACAAGGAGTTTACCATGATGTTCTGAATAAATAAAACTATATAATGAAATTATATAGTAAAAAATGTAAATTATTTTTTGAAATCTTTATTGACTTTTGAATTTTTTTAGTGGTCCAAATACTAATGGTAGCCAGTTTTTCATCACTTTGGCTCCAACACAGTGGCTTGATGGTAAGAATACATGTTTGACATTTTGGTAATGAATACAAAATTTACAATTACCAGTGTAATGCAATTACCCTTTGAATGACATGTTATCTTAACAGGTGAAGTATCACCGTTGCTATGGCTACATAAGAAATCGCACCTTTCACAGCAAAAAAACTATTGAAGTGAAATGGTTTGGTATTTCATTGATGTTTATATAATAAATAGAACATTACATGGTCGCTTGGAGATACGAAATTTCTCTTCTCGTGTTGAAACAATATTTCACTCGTTCGCTGCACTCACTCGTGAAATATTTTGCACTCAAAGAGAAATTTGTATCTCCGCACAGCCATGTAATATCCTCTATTTACTACTTACTTGGATTAATAAACTTTTAAGGCATTAGTCCATGGATGATGGTGCAAAGAAAAATTCAACTGCTTATTGCTATCCTCAGAGCTACTTTTTCGCTCATTGTCAGGCCATGAATCAAAGCCATTTTAGGTAATATCTACTTCATTGTAGGTCAATTATTTTAGCTCATTGTAGGTCATTGTAGCTCAACTGTAGCTCATTTTTTTGTTTTAGTAGTACAGCAAGTGGAACCCTGCTCTAAGGACACCCAGCTTTGGCATACATAGAGGAAATTTTCAATTGTCACAGCCCAAAACTTATACTTTTTTAAAAAATTCATCCGCTCAATACCGACACTGGTTGATATGGACAATGGGCATTTACTGTGTCTTTGTGTCCTGTGTCACAAACTCCCTCACATCATCAACCCCTCTTTATGGACACTGTTTATCATTTCTTTCTATGACTGAACTTTACCAGTGAAAAACCAACAGGAATATGGCAAGTGACCTTTCAAATGTTCTGTCTAATATTCAGTCCACCTGGCTGAGTGGCAAACTAAGATCATCAATAATGCAAAGTAAAGTCCAAGATTCCATCTTTGTGTTTAGGGGAAATACTTATAAAAGATAATTTTGGTCCAAGAATACAATAAAAGATCCTTAGGTTTATTTAGGATGAACTTGTTAAAGTTACAGCTAAGAAATAAACAATGTTTTCTCACAAAAATGTCTGCTTTCCTCTTCATATCAGTAAAACATGTGTCCATGTTGTTTTTTTCTGAGAGCCTGATTAATATGGACACCCAGTTGATATGGGCACAACGACATGTCCTCTTGGTGTATTATTAACCAGGTTACACTTTACAATAGCAATGTCCTAGAGATGGTTTTTTTTTTTTTTTTAAAAATGCTCCTTTCCTTTCCCTTTTTAGTTAAGTTGGTCCTTATAGACGTTTGTTTTCTTGGGGAAAATGACTTGTCTGTTTCTTGAAAAGGCCTTACTTGCATTTTGGACAAAACAGCTGCATTTAATAGTGCTCATTTTGTCATTTCTTGCAGGCAAACATACAGTATTTGGTAGAGTGTCTGGTGGAATTGAAATAGTCAGGAGAATAGGGCTGGTAGAAACTGACCCTTCAGACAGGTAATTTGGTTTAAACCTTTAGTGGCTTAGTTGCAGCCAAATTCACTCAAAAAATATAACATTCCCAAGATATATACCTATGCTAAGCTTCTTAGAGACTGAGGGAGAAAGCAGATGATAATTTTTTATCTTTCATCGATATTTATTTTTATTTTGCCTTTTAGTGTCACTGTACAGGGCTCTAAATAAAATTGCATCTACGTTGACTGTGCATATACACAATGTATTGCGAGGTGACTCATTTTCTTGTAACAGTTGCTACAGTAAATATCGGAAATAAAGTTTGGCATCTTAACTTACTGTTTGCGGAATGAAGGGCCAGGTGTCTACTAATTAATACAGGTTTCACAGTTAACAGTAATAATTGCCTTGAGTTATAATTCAGAGCGGGGATTTTCAACCCCAACATTTGTGAGATCTGGCCTGACACTACCCAAAAACATCTATTTTCATCCAAAGTGATCCTACAGCTGTAGTTACTGGTAATTCCAACTTTTTCCTTTAAATAGATGATTACAATGTTTATATAATTCTACTTTTTAAGGCCACTTCATGATGTTTACATCTTACATGGAAAGGCATTGTAACATAACATCCAAAATGATTCTACATGCTGTGATGACATTAGTATCACTGAGAGAAGATGTTCCCACCAACTAAGCTTGTGACAAGCAAAAAGGCTATTACGATGTTTTAATATAGTTGTTAACCTATAGAAACTCGAGAGCAGCTCAAGATCATCAACACTAGTTCTGGAACATTGTACATCTTTTACACACTTTACTTTTATTACAGAGGATGTAAATTTATTATTTGAAATTTAAATAAAACTTCCTTTTGTTTAATAATTATTGCTTTGAAATGTTTTCTTATGATAAAACATTAATTTAGGAAATAGTTATAATAACATTGTCATGTAATTTATGCAGCCAATTATGTGTTGGTTCTGAGGAGACCACTGAGGGGCCTATATTACATTATTGACCACCATATACATGTGACATTGATCATTAACAGGTTTAAAAGGTTGCCTGTGTTGCAGACAGTCTAAATCCTGGGTCTTGAGTGACAGGCTGCAACGTAGGCTGTATCAAAAGGCAGATATGAAGAATCATACAAAATAGCTGAATTTACAGTGACTTTCCCAACATCATTATTGAAAAATGAGAAAATTGGTCCCAGTGGTGATTCATGTAGCAGTACAATTTGGGATTCACTGGAAGTATTAGTTTCAAATGTTAGCCCTTCTTGAGCTACAAATATAACAGCTTATCATCAGGCCATGTCTGACTAACATTTGCCCCTTGCCAACAAAATCCTTCCTGGGGTCAACATGATGAGCAGACAGCTCAATTGCCTCTGTGCCATTATTTTGAAGCTGAAGATTAGCATAGCATTGAAAGAAATCATAATATGTCAATGTAGTTTATGTTCAACAATTGGATTTATATGCATGAAGTTACAGTAACCTGGTTGGATGTATGTTCTTTTTTTAAAAGTAAAATAATATTATTTCTAGCTCTGTTTTCTCTACATGCATCTTTGGTCTCCTTCAATGACAATTTTGTACCATGTGAATCACCAGCCTGCATTACAGCCGGCTTACTCAGTCGTCTAAACCATAAATATGGTCCGTCTGCGAATTAGTCCACAAAAACTCTTTTTAATATCCGGCAGAGTTGCAAGGACATATGTGAGCATTTCTGATAGGCGGGTTTCTTACAGGTTTCTTTAATGCACCTCACAATTGGCCTAATTCTTAGTTGTGCATGACGGTTGGGCGAAGTGACATGTCAAAATTCACGGAGGGGAGTTGGCAAGGATCGTTTACAGTAAACAGTGAAAGAGCAGTTCGAACTTTAAAGCCTTCTTATGAACAAAAAAGTGCTTTGAGAGAATTCCTTCGAGGCCAGAATTTGCTTGTAAATTTGCGGACTGGTTTTCCAGTGTCTTCCAATCACTGCAAATGCATTGCCACGTATTCTGCAATCTAGCCGACAGTTCTAGCATCAAAACAAATCAGGAAATAATGATATTCACAGCCAAAAAAAATACAGACATGTAGATATTCAGGTCCGGGCATTTCGGAGAAAACCAAAGAAACTAACGTTATTTAGGTGCAATAAATCCTAAGGCTTAAACAAGTAAAAGAGAATCATACAAATGGAAAACTGCGCATGCATCTGTGACCAAGTCCTGTCAGCCAACATCTGCAGAAGTATAAACCACAGGAACTAGTTACACATGTGCTTGGAACAGACCAGTTTTATAACGTCTAAAATAATGTGAGACTCAAAGCGGCAAGACAAAATTAGCTCAGTGAAAGTGTAGAATACTACATGCACTGCCTAAACTATGCAGAAAGAGAGAAAAAAAAACCTCTGTTGTTCAAGCTGACTCTAAAGTCACAATTCACACTATCACGAGCTCAATCTCTCTTGTCACGAGCTATTAATGTTTGGCCTGTCAACACTTAATTCAAATTGGACTAATCACAAACTGTGTAAGAAACTTGCCAATCAAAAACGTCAACATATGTCCTTGCCACTCTGTGGGATTCGAACACAATATTGCGCACCAATTCGCAGACGCTCTATACAGAAGGTTTAGAGTGTCTGTGACACAGGCAAGTAAATGACTCTAGAGCTGTGAAGGGCCTAAAGTAAACTGCTGCTTATTATTCCTAGGCTTAAGGTATACATCTTTTAAACAGAGAGGCTGGGCTTATATCCAAGGGGGCTTTTAACCAGAATGGAAAAAAAGCTTTCAAAACAAGCAAAAGCAGTGGTGATCAAAGCTTCAAATCTTGGTAATAAATAAAATTTATTTCAATACAAGCTAGAGGAGGGCTTACATCCATGGGGTGGGAGCTGATAATTTTGGACATATTGTTTCGTTTACAGCAAGATGGATCTCTTAACTGCTGGGGGCCTTTTAGATGGGCTTATAAACAGCAGTCCAGGGCATTGCAGGCTCCATGCCAGTCTGTAAGCCTTTTACCAATGGTGACCGATATCAATTTTCTCCCAATGACATCCATACCTTGTCAAGAGATAAGGTTATGAGAATTAATGAAATGATCACTTAAGAGAAAATGCTTTGATCTTTTATCAAATTCTCTCAACTACCTCTTTAAGGAAATGTATAGAGATCAGTTTGGAGAATTTGTACGTGGAAATTGGGGCTTAAAGGGTTAATAGCAATTTTTAGGCCTTCTCAGCAAATGGACATAATTATCTTTAAAATTAATCTCAGAATAAATTCTAATAATGACTATTATGGCAGTGCATCCAATAGCTGTATTGGTCGTTTCTTGTATAGATAGATAATTTATATGCATCACAACCAGGAGGGGCATAAAAAAGCACTTTTGCTGAGATATAATCAGCTCATCTGCTGTACAAAGTTCAGTCTAATAAGTATGCAATGTCTAGATTTGAAGTGGATCTCCTGCCACTCAAAAAAATGCCACAAACAATGCAATGAACTCTAATTATAAATTTATCTTCTGGCCAAATTACTTTATGGTTCCCTTACAGGAACGAACTGTTACTTTTTACAGGACACAACAAACTAAATTTAAAAAGAAATGTTACCTATGGATAGTTTACGTGAGGGCAACAATCCACAATTAATATCTCTAACTTGACAATATTACAAACCAGTATTTTTCATGATCAATATATATAAATGTATTTACATTACAACAGAAAGGCTGCTCCAGTTGATTCTGTACTAACAATCACAGGAATATATGAATTCGTAATGTATTGATCCCTTTATTTGAAGTGCAAAAACACTCCAGTGTTCATTCCACAAGGATCGTGTAAACTCCATAGTAACTGTACATAAATCTTTTTCTCCGCATGGATTCTCATTCATACAACTTCGAGGTTACCCAACTTATAATTTGTTCTTTCTACCCGTTCCACTGACAAGTGACCAGCAAATAGATCATCCAAGATCAAAATAACTTGTTGTGACCATACATAAGCAAGCTGTAGTAAAGTGATGGAAACTTGAACGGCGAAACAGGACAAAAATGGTTCGAAAAGCCAAGAGAAGATCCTGTCCAAGTAACGTAGCATCTCCTCTAAATGTGTCTCATTTTCGACCGGTTTTTCGCTTTTGTTTACGATATTTACGATATCCACACGGCTATGATAATCAAAATTATTAAAAAGTTCCTGTAGTACAGAGCAATGAGAGCAATTGCTATCATAAACCCGATTACAACGGACAACTTGAGAAAATCCCGTGGACGATTCACAAAGCCATCTGCGTTGTCCGTGTGAGAGTTGCTGTAATTCTTCCATCGTTTCGACATAAGTTCGCCCAGAAAAAATTGCTTTTCTCAGGTCCGGTAAAAACTATTTTAGCTCTTATCCACTTCTAATTCCATTCAAGACAACCGCATTTCACTGAAGAACGTAAGTTATACAACTATTTGATCACGACAACATAGCAGCTGTCGTCTACAAAGAGAACTAACCGGAAGTTGTGGTTTTCCGCTGACCATTAGCGTATGTTTCGTAAATGCGTAAATGTTGACGTGCCGACACCGTATTTCCGGTCAGACCATGTCATTCGATGGTGGTTTGATTTTTATTAAAATCTAAATAACAAAAAAACTAGACACATAACTGCGTGAACTCGGGCTTCCCTTGTCGTTCAAACGAAATAGACGAAATTAAAGAAACAAGGGCATAAAACGGACCCTGTATAAATGTGAAATTTGGTTGTAAACCCAAACCTTGCTATTAACATATCATAGGATGGGTTCACAGAAAACAATTACATTTTAGTTTTATGGCAAAATGCAAAATGCAACGCGCGTTTTTTTTTTAAAAAAAACAGCCAGTTAAAAAAAGTGATATACGATCCTGTCGATGTAAGAATTTCAGTCTCAAACACTAACGTCAGGTCTGATGGGGGCGGGGGGGGAGGTGTCTAGAACCCCCGGACCCTCCCCTCGATCCGCCACTGTTTTGTATGAACGCCCGGCCCCACCATGGGGCATTTAATTGTGAAATTGGGAATTCTCGGCTTCAGAATCCGGAAAGCAGCTTAAGAAATCAGGAATCCCACTAATAATTGGAATCCAGAATCCAAGTTTCACTGAGAAAGACTTGAGTCCAGTAGTTGGAATCCGGATTCCACGGCGTGCAATCCAGATACCAAGACTGTCTTGGATTCCCTCACGTGGCCAGAGGGGCGAAATCCTATTATTTAATATATACTATTTCTTTTTTATTTAGATCTGGAAAAAGACCTAGATCTAGCTAGAGAAAAAAGACATTTTGAATGAATGCAACTATATTGAATGCAACTGAGCGCTTTCAAGCCCCGTCCACATGAATCCAGATTAAAATATGCGGTTTCAAAAACTTCCCGATTCGTGTGGATTTAGTAACTTCAGGTGATAGATTATGTATCTCAAACTCTGGCCAACATTGATAGTTTAGGGCGATTGCTTGTACTTGGCTTTTCGGTAAATAGTGAAATACAAAGTATAACGCATTTTATGTAATTTTGATTTGTGTTTCATTCATGTTTTGTAAGAGTAAAATTTCAAGGCAGAGTATTTTCAATCTTGCCTCAGTTTTCTGCACGAGAAGGATAGATGCGCGAAGCAGAGTATAGAGACGAATCTCTTTACTACGGACACCCTCAGGATTGTACGTTAGTGTCATTAATATAATAGCGAGAGTTTGTGACAGCGGCCGGGGCGCGGGAACAATTCCATCGGAAAACATATGAGATTTCTGAATAGCATTTACCACATGTTACAACAACTTCGAGTGATGCGCAGCACCGAACAGAACAGGCCAGTTCATCGTTACGCGCACAGCTCCTTGGTCTTTGAAAAGAAGCGAGGCTGGAAGTGACCTTATCGTTATATAGCTGGAAATTTCCTCTAAACAGGGCGCGCTCTCACTGGTTACTTCGAGGTCACGTGACATCTAACAATGACACTGTTTCCCGCCAAAATCTCTGAGCGGGCAACATTGCAAAATATATGACGGTGTACTGTTGACCGACGACTGCCGTTTTACAGCGAGGTTAAATGAATTTTCAGTTTCAAAATTCCAAGCTATATGTCGAATCTCAATGTTTCCCATTGAGACTCTCGGGAAAACAAAATTTACTATTTCCCTCGGGACCAGTCATTAAGTGTTTACTGTTTTCAAGTACAAATCATGTTATTCTCATGCTAGCAAGACCATAAGCATGATGGTTTGTAACAAAACAAGGTCCGCCTCCAGCCTCGCTTCTATTCAATGGCCAGGGCACTTAGCACAAAACTATAAAATTGCTTATTGTAAATCCAGCCAAAAATACAAGTGTGATGTTAAAAGACGCATCAAATATTTTATGTGCCTGAATGTTGAAAGGTGCTGCTTAGTTTTCGTCACAACGAGAGTCAGAACAATAAACATGTGCCGTCGGCACCTAAAAAGATATCTGCAAGTTAGTAATAGCGAGAGTGATATAACGATTATGTGAGTGGCCTGCCACAATTCTTAAGGATTTTTACACGTGACGAAGCCCTGAGCACGTCTACGTAGAAGTGGGAGACTGAGGAGTAACAATAAACTTCTTCTCTCTCTAAAACTAGCCTGGGACCAGGCTCCACAGTAGGGGAGGGAAAAACAAAAAATAATCGGCGATGGCGAAAAAAAATGGGCGAGCGAAGCGAGCCGAGCGGAAGTCTATAAGGAGGGAAAAGGGTAGTCCTGTCCCCTCCCCAGTCCACTACCAGCTCGTTTCGTTCGCCGATTTTTTGCTGTTTTGCCCCATTTTTTGTCTTCCCACCCCCACTAAGGAGCCTAGTCCCACCCCACAGTCTCCCTACCTAGTGCCACTGCCACTTTTTGGGGCAACAATAATAGTAAGCGTGAAGAAAAGCAGGAAAAGGTTAGCGTTCTTTTTCTCTGATTCTCCCTCTCTCTTTTTGTCGCGAAATGAAAGCCTAAAACTCACTCCTCGTGTTTAAAGACAATTTCCAGTTATCTGATGGACTTTAATCTGCAATACTGCTGCAAATTACACGATGAACTCTTAAAATAGCATTAGCAGTTTCAAACGCAGTTCTGTAACAGTTTATCTTCATTGAAAACATATCCAGCACTGAGTTGTCGAAAGTTTTCTCCACAGCATCTGCAGTATAACAATGTTTAATTTCGCCGTCCCACGAGTCTTGCAAAACACAATCCTTAATATCTCCCATGATGCTCCACAGCACAGTTTCATCATGTGACACAAGGCCACAAGTGCAGCAAGGCATGCTGGGTTTTAGTTCCAGTGCCCCAGGTGGAACACTCCAATGATGCTGATTGGCTGAGTCAGTCAGATGACCACCCCCATCATGCTCAAGGCTCCTGGCCAAAGATTCCAAGCTACTGGCCACGTTGTTGATGACAGTAACAACTCGACCTTATTAAAAGAAAAAAACTCAGTGTGAGAACAGAAACCTAAATTCAAGAAAGTGGCTTAGCTTTTCCTTATTTGTTAAAGAACGCTTTAAATGGTAGTATTCAACAGAATTGAAACATAATACAATGTACATTAAAATCGGCAATAGACACCTGTATTAACCCAAAGAAAAATTTCACTGAAAATTGGTATTAGTTTCAATTTCTCCAATTACGGCTTCACATTGACAACAGAAATATCTAAGAACAGAATTCGCAAGATCATGTCCAAGTCCCGACTTTGTCATATTTCCTACAAAACTAGCCACGCAAAAGCTTGCAACTCCCTTCTAAGGTGACTTAATTAAGCTCTTCACTTTCTGCGTGATTCTGTTTTGCCTGTGAAACGCTTTAATAGATGATAGAGAGATTTAGCCTGAGAAAACAGCCGACATTTGGCGACATTACCACTGGTTTCCCCGCCAAATGACGTCTGAGAAACGAGCGCAAAAATTCCATACTGATGACGCGTCACAACCCAGATCTGAGGAAGGGTCGAATGAACCTTGCTTCCTCGCTTTGCTTCAGTTTGCAGCTTGTTTGAAAGGCGTACATGTTGGCCTGAACAAACCCCATTTCCCTGTTAACATCAAAAACTTAGTTACCTTTAGTGCAGCCGAGCTCAGCAGCAATCTTTGAACCACTGTGGTATCCATACTGCCTCAAGAATGATGCCAAATATGTGTCCAGACACCCAGCTCCAGGCAAAACATAAGGGCATGCCAGTGTCTCATGCAAAGCAACCATGGATGCTTCACAGACTATCTTCAGCTCATCTAGTGAAGTCTCATCTGATGAACATAGCAAAAGTGTGCTAACAGATGGTGACTCTTGTGAAGACTGCGGCAGAAGATGTAGATAGCTGTTACAAAAAAGAGAGAAAAAAACGTTTTGCTGATATTTAGGACTTGTATTAAAATCAATTTATCTATATTTGGGTGTTTTATATTATTTGCAAGCGCTAAGTTAGTTTATTTCGTCAACTTTTAATAATCAATTAGTGGCAAAGTTTGCATGTAAAGTCTGTGCATGCTTTATCTAATCACTCCTGACACCAAAGAGTGGGTTAACTGATACGTGTCTCCATTTCTTTTCTTTTGAACCTCTAGGTCATTGGATAAAGTGGATAAAACGCAATGACAAGTGTTTGAAATAGCTTCTAAAATGTTTACTTATTCTTGGACTTCTTTGGATAATGCAGAGAACACATTCTTCCTAGTGTTTGACACAACCTCTCCTAATCCATGAATAAAATTAATTTTTTCACTAGTGGGGAACTACCTTTTTACAGTGTCCTCATGCCATACCCCCAACAAGTAGGCTGAGTTATTCAGAAAATTTAAAGTACAAGGAGACAAAAATTCTGATAGGCGGAAATAGATTAGGTCGAATGGCGCAAAGCACCGATCTTCACATGTGGGGTAAACAGCTGTAGGTATGGAGCTGCCCCCTTCCACTGGGGGAGTTGGGGGTTCTTCAGGGAAATTTTAATTTTGAGGGCCCCACAAATTGCATCCCAGTGCATTTTGAGCTACCATGGAGAGAGTTTTAGCCATAAGGAAGACAGCCTTATTCACCCACATTTACTTTGTTTTTGAAAATCCTATGCTTGTTTTTGTCAAGCAAAAGTGTTGAGAAACAAATAGGATGAGTGGCTGGCAACCGGAGCTTTCAGAGAATAGTTTGTAAGACTAGCCGGAGTCCTTAATCTGGAGTGGCTTCTTGATTACCCAGGGCCAAGTCAAGACTTCAAACTTTTAATGTGACAAACCAAACTGATGCTCCATTCACACCAACTGAACATGTCTAATTTAACTACAGTGGAACCCTGCTATATGGGACGAATGTATAATGGCCATCTTTTGTGCTGACCCTGAAAATCTCAAATGTTTTCTCTAAAAATAAGCTGCTTCATGTGGACACGCGGATAACATGGACACTATGGTATGTCCCTTTGGTGTTCATATTAACTGGGTTCCACTGTAGGTTGTTTTTTAAAAAAAGAAACACAGTAATGTAAAACTAGAACACAAGCTTATACACAGAATTCGAATGAACTTTAACATGTTACATAATTGCACCAAGTTTGTCATCAATAAAATCACAATAAGTAAAAAAGCTTCTTACAGGAGAATGTATGTGCACTTCTGTGGGAAAAGGGTTTTAAACTTTGGTGTGGATAGGGCTCGAGTGAGTTAAGTCAGTCAAGTCCGTTCAGTAAGTTTGACGCTTGTCTCAGAAAAAGTTCATCTGACTGAGTTTGGATCGATGAAAACATTCTATCTGTCCGCTTCATTAGGATAAACAGTGTAAAGATGCTGTGGTTTATTCCATTGAGCTGCTCGTGGAAACCAGTCCATTCATAACATGTTCCCGCAAAGCAGGGTTCCACTGTATGACTGTAAACTCTTTTGTGCCATTGAATTAAAATTAAGTTCAATGTTTGATCCAGCAGTCAACCTTGGTTCATCTCATCAAAAGTGTTATAGTTAATTTTTTATATATCTCAGGTAATTTTTGTTTTTGTTTTGTTTTTGGGTATCATTGGTAATGTATGTTAGTGAAGTTGAAACAAAAGAAAAACAAAAATTACGTACAATAAAAGTTCACGTTTGGCCTTAGCCCTAGTCTACAATGGTTGGACCTACAAGGAGTAAGCCCCCCAATGTGGCTCTGCAAGCTTCACCACAATGATAAGGTGACAAGCCTGGCGTGAAGAAGTTTGTTTTCAGTATGATACCTACAGATGACAAGAATTTCAACTGACCTCTTGTCATTTAACACGACATGTTCAATCTTCCCCAGTTGCCCAAAGCTTGATTCAGGGGTATCTGTGTCGAAAGTACTAAGGATTGAAGCCCCAGTCAGGCGCTGAACAGCAGAAATGTGAAGAATAGACAAACGTTCCAACACAAATGCACCCTGAGATAGAACAAAAAAAAGAGGAAAAATCAAGGTAATAAAATAATCATTAAACTTCTGGTGGTTCAAACAAGAAATCTCCAACAGAACAATAAAAAATACTATGAAACCCCTTATTGACCAAGCTTAGTTGCTCAAGATGGCTACAAAATTAAATTGACCTCATTCTCTTTGCGTTTTTATTGACCTCAACTTTGTCTCGGTTCATAAAGAGTACAAAAGAACTTGGCCAATATCCAGCCATCTTGACCTCTCGCTTGGTCAATAAAGCTTATATAAAACAACAACAACAACAAACCTTGTCTCTTAAATACCGCTTCAGTGCCGGGTGTACACACTTCTGACAAGCAATGACATTAACACCAGAGTCAAGCAAATAATCCGCCACCTTTAACAGCTGAAGAAGGACAGTATTTGCTGCACTAAAATCATAACTGCCACTCACTGTCTCTGTTTTTATGTTACTTGAGAACCACTCATCTGTATCTCCTGCCATTGATATATTATACAGGGCTACCTTGGCACCATGGCTAACAAGAGTCCTTCCACACTGTTGAAAGGTTGGAATTTCAGGTGTATGTATGAGAAGACCTGGCAGAACCTTTGAGTCTTTCACAGATTCTCCTTCAAAAGTTACTATTTGTACCGGCACTGCTTGTTTGAGACCCGCAGAGGGTGCCTTATTTGTGCTACTTGGCAGAGACTGGAGGAAAGCCTGAATGTTAAGGAAAGTAATAATCACTTTGGGTGCTCAAGTTGTTGCCACATTTTACCTGCCTAAGAGCGATAGTGCAGGCCGACCAAACTACTTTTTGACTCTGAATATTACTTTATTTTGGCAAATGCCTCTCTCCAGTCAGGGGAAAAATGTAACTGTTCTCTAATAACACAACTGCAAAACAAGGTACATTTTAACTCTTAAAGGTGTCATTTTTTTATATTTTCAAACAGCTGGTCCCAGTTGTTCAAAAGGTGGATTTTAAATGCTATTCACTGGATACATGTAAATCTCTATCCACTGGATAGCGCAAATTGGTTTCCTTAATACTTATCCACTGGATAGTAATTTATCCGGTGGATAGCGCTATCCAGCTTTTGAACAACTGGGGCCTGACTGTTTGCCATAAAATGGTGGAAGCTGGTCTTGATCCACATTCAGGGCTGTCAACCCCTGACATCTTCAAATATTGAGAATTGACAGGGAAGGGATAATCGATGATGTCATAATGCACGAAACATGACATCATTTGTGCAAAAACACATATGCGAAAAAGATGTTGCTGGAATTGTAACATTTGAACCTGATTGGTTTACTTCTCACCAATAACATAATTGCTTGTATTACAATGGCATACTGGAGTTTCTGAGAAAACGTTCAATGTTAAAAGTTAAATAGCTCAAACAACACAAAATATTTGAAGTTTCATTGACAGAAAGTCCAATCTACAAGAAATAGCATACTTCGGCAACTATTCAGGAGATTTCAGACTCTAATCTGGAGACCAGGAAAAACGGTTCAAAATCGGGAGTCTCCTGGATTATCCAGGAGAGTTGACAGCACTGCACATTACCTACATGTAAAAACATGTACAACATTTATTTAGAAATTCATGAAAATCTTGAATGTTACCTGGATAATAAGCACAGAAACATGATGTTTCTCTGTTTCACTGAGGTGACAAGCAGGTTTAGTACCAACTATACTGTTTACGATGGACAACATGCTCTTCATGTCACCAATATTAATCTTCATTTTCCAGCAACATGACTGTAAATGGTTGATGATTGCTTCCAACAAATGTTGATTGATTTGAGTCACCAAGGCTCTTGGAACTGGTAGGTCAAGGGAGAATTGTAACAAGCTATGTGAAAAAGGAAAAAGGGTATTAAATAACCCCTTTTAAGACCCCTATAGCCTACTATAGCTAGTACATGTACTAACCATTTTCACAGAACTGAATTAAAAGATTTATTATAAGTTATGGAAAGATTATCGATAACTTTACTAATGCAACGATACCTCAAAAGAAGCAACGCTGTCTGAAGTCCTCCATCACTATAAGCATCTAAATGTCCCCTCACAGCTGAGAGTATTAGTCTCAGTATGGGATGTGACAAGCCAGACAAGCTGTGAAAGATTCTGCTTGATGTTGATGTCACAGTGACATATCCACCAGAGGAAGTCTGAAAGAATTTCAGTCTGATGATAAATTGAGTGAATAGAAAAATTTAGTGAAAGATGGTAAAGGTTAAGCTCAGCATGGACAAAAAATCTGAGTTATCACCAGGACCCCCGACAACACCAGGGTGTGGGTAACTCCTGGGAATGTGTGACATGCTACCCTTTTTCAGACCGAGCATTGATTTTCTTTATTCTATTCTAACCTGCGCTGCAGAGGAAACTAAACTCTGGTTAAGTCCGTCCACAAAACAGTGCCGAAATCCTTGTTCTGGCCCCCACCTGTGTACCAGGAATTGAGTACGTGCCATGATTGGCCTGTTAAACAAGACCCTGTCGATTAGCCAATCAAGATGAAAGGAAATTTGAACACTCTTCAGGTAATTCGTCTTTTGGGGACCCAGAACGAGGATATCGACATTGCTTTGTAGACATTACTAACCAAGGTTAAATTACGTCTGCGATGCAGGAGCCATATTATAGACGTTTCGTTATTGTTACATGATGCATTTTGTCATTATACATATTTCATGACATGATGCTAACTTCGTAGTTTTGGACCTCATGCTTTTCAAAGCAGTCATGTTTGTTCCTTAGGTCAGTCTTTAAGTTCAAAGCTGTAAATCGGGCTAGTCTTCTAAACAAATCAGAAATACATCAGCAGGCTACCCTATTTTAGGCCAGCTACACTACTATAATTCTCAAAAAAAGAAAAAATTAAAAAAATACCCCATCCAAAGAATATCAATACTTGTTCTCTTTCAGAGGACACCAAAATGGCTAAAAACTACACCCAATTAAAACAAAAGGAATCAGCTTCATCCCCAGGGCTTTTCAAGGAGTCAAAACCATACTCTTTGGTACTGTACTGTATCAATAATATACAGGACTGTAGCCTCTGATTGGGTGTACCTGTCACAAAAACATGGGCATATACATCTTTGTATGGGGTTTTAGGTGGGCTTATAAATGGAGGGGCTTATATGCTGGGGGGCTTATACACCACCTGTAACTGGACTAGAAAAAGTGCTTCAAAACAAGCTACAGCAGTACTGTTCAAAATATGTTTTACTTTTTCTGGTACTTTATTAGACTTCAAAATGTCATAATAAATAGAATTCATTTTCAGTACAAGCCAGAGGGGCACTTTTATCCAGGGGCCTTGTAGATGGGCCTATAACTGGTCGGGCTTAGAAGTGGGAGGGGGTGGGGGGGTGCTTATAAGCAGCAGTTTTCAGTAAAAAACTAAAACAACTGAAGATACACCATAGGCCCTTCGGTTTCCCAGAAAGCAGCTTGGTGGTGTAATTCACAAGACTGATATCAACATGAACATTAGCCTGTGTAGCTGGTGGTATTGTGTAGTAGTCGAGTGAGATTTGGCGGCGGAGCCGTTGTAATATATTCAAGTGAGATTTGACGGTGGAGCCATCATCGAGGCCCTGGAAAAAACATTTCAACTGTAGGCCAGTCAGGAGTTACAGCGCCGCCGAGTCATGCGAAATAACAAGTTCTTCAGGACTTGAGGTCCAAAAATCCCTTTCCACCGGGTGGACAAATTGCCAGAGAACCATGATTTTTCGAATGCCGCCCACTTTTGTCACCTTAGCTGATCCCAATTAAATCAGCAATTTGAAACTTCCGATTATTTTCACGCGAGACAGTTTAGAAATAAGCGTTTTTTTTTATTTTCTCAGCTCTCGGGCGAAGGTTACTAGCATTACACAGTGCACGTATCATTCTAAACTTCGACTGAGTAAATCTTTTTTTGCCACACTAGGCTTAACATTAAAAGGTCATGAAGCTGGTTTGTTACATGCATACTGAGTAACTATTTCCTGTGGTTTATTCATCTGTAGGTGTTCCTGATAGGATTTGATCTCAGATGCAGTTGTAAAGTGTTCTAATTTTCTTTGACCTTTGTTTCTTACCGCTAAATAAAGACAATTCCAGCGCTGCGAAGTTTAAAGACGCCATTTCGGCTAATTGGTCATCAATTATGCTGTTTTAAAGGGGAAACCACAATCACTTACGTTTTCCAGTTTGCCATCTGCTCCCTTAATTGGGAAATATATGCGAAGGATCATCTAACATGATTGACATATGTATGGCCCTCGACCAATCCGTTTCCCCGCTCACTGGTGTGCGGACTATTAAAAATACCCGGGTTTTCTGGCAGGCGGTATTTCAACCGCCTCGTCCCTACTCCCTTTTTTTTGGAACACGGCCCCGCCGCCAAAACTTTAATCTCGCACCCACACAATACCGCCAGCTACGCAGGCTACATGAACATGGGATATATTTCAGTCAATTACAGTCACGTGCGCATCATATGTCAAAATATTATCTTACCTTCCAGTTGGGCCAAGCGCCGAAGAAACCACGTCCTTTAGTGACAGTAATAAATGCTTAACATTACTGTCGTCCAGGGGCTGAACTGTAATCTAAAGAAGTTGTAATCAAAAGAAACTGTAATAACCCTGTAGCATAGTCGATAACAAATGTAATGAACAGAACTTAAACAGAACTGAACTGTAGCAACTGTTTGGATAACTGAACAAACCTTTGAAGTGCATTGATCTTCTCTAAGCAGCCTCGAAGAGCGACTTTTACCCGCCATTCAAAACGTATGCATTGCAGTTATGCATCCTTGTAATAACTGTGTTATCAATTTTAAAAAAATCTGTAAAAATCCAAGTGTTTTTCTCGGTGTCAATCTATGGTCACAAAAAGCTACACTCACTCACCCTGACAGTTCACTCAGACACGCAGCGCTAGAAGTCTAGGCACTAGGCTAGTCACCAGTTTTTCTGCAGGTGTGAGTCGTACTCCAAAAACGCCTGGCAAATGTGTTTTAGGCATGAGAAAATCTTTAGTAACTCTTAGGTTTGCCCTCTATGGCTGCAAAAACAGGCCTTTCTTTTATATCGTGGCTACCAACAGATATAAACCTCGAAACAGAGGCTATCTAGAGCAGGTATAGTAATGCTCAAAACGAGAATTAATACTGAGGGTTCAACCATGTTCGGCTTCATTCGCTCATTGTAATTTGTTAACTAAGCTTAATTCTTCCATCAATTATAGGTTGGGACGTTTGATCCGGTGCCAAACACCAGGAATGAAAAGCTGGCAAGTTTAAATATGGATAGGATAAGGTTAGCAGTTTGAGATTAAGTTATTGTTAAGTTGTTTTGTACTTTATGAAACACAACAGTGCCAGGAACTTTATACTTTTTGTGAGAAGAATATTAACGTCTGCATGCGTTTTCCGTACAAACATTTTTTTCTGTTTCTTTTTTTCCTTTAACTGAAATCAATCTAGATACTGGTTGTCAGTTGGAGCTAGGCCTTCAAGACCTGTGGCAATATTACTAGGACTGGTAAGTTAAGGTGGCCACTGATCCCGGCCTCCTCCTTCACCTCTTCCTCTTTGCCATCACTACCTTCACTGGCCCTATTCAATGTTTATTTTAGTTAAGACCAAGGCTTGTTTCACAGTAGTTTCACTTCATCATTAGAAAAAATTAAAAAGTGGATATGTTGTAGGTGAAAATCCATTTCAGGTTAAACTAGATTTCTTGTTTTTGTCTCCTGAATAGGTCAATTTTTAACATTAATTTCCTCAATTTTCCAGAAATGGAAAATTTCCTTTGGCCTGACGGTGACAAATGATAATGATGATGATAATAATAACAATAATAATAATAATAATAATAATAATAATGATGATAATAATAATAATAATAATAATAATAATAATAATAATAATAATAATAATAATAATGATGATAATAATAATAATAATAATGATAATGATAATTATCACAAAATGGAAATAAGCTTCTGAACATCACAATCTGATCCAACTTTGAAATCTCTCGTTGTATAAAACACTAGTTGAACTTTCCCACATCTCCTTTATTTTGTGGCAAGTCTAGAAACACTGAAAAAAATAAGCCTTCAGGTGGTATTTACATTTTGTAAGTAGAGGAAATACTGTTTCATTGTAGCCGCAAGTGCTGCATCACTGATTAGAGTATAGATGCTAAAATACTGTCTTTAATTGTTTTATGTAGGCTGGTGTTCTTCCCCCACACCCTCATAGTTTGGTGGTTGCTGCTAGAAACCGTGCAGCTCTTGCGGCAGCAGCTGTTACTTCAGATGTTCCCGCAGAAGAGGTAAAGGAAGAGGATAAAGAAGAGGTGGAGGAAAATAAAGAGAACAATGCAAACATGACGAGTAGAGAAAATCAGGAAAATGATGAAGACAAAAATGAAACATAACCCTCATAGCGACCTTGGTGCTAAAGAGTAACTTAAAACGTGCTTGATGCCATAAGGCACTATTTGCGTTTTTTCTGAATTTTTTTTACTTCCATGAAAAGTTGAAGAGCTACCTACAGAATAAAATACAAATCTGGGTCCAAAGAATCTCAAGATAGTTAAGATATCAATGCCACATTATTGTAGAGCAGGCAAGATACAGAGAATCCTGTCTTTTGAGGTTCCCCCTCCCCCCTTTGTTCTGCAATAAAAGGTTTGTTTTGGCCACATAATAAATCCCTTATTGACACAGCCTTTTTTTTGTCAAGATTTCTGAGTACTGGGCCCATCATTTTGTCCTCTTCTTATTGGCCACAATTTTATTTTGGTCCATAAAAAAAATTAAGAATACTTGGCCAATATCAGCCATCTTGACTTCTTGCTTTGTCAATAATGATGCACTTGGTATATAATACCACTGTATAGAATTGTATGCTGGGTTACTAGGTAGTCAAAGCTGATCAGACAACGTGATGGAAATAATAATTATTGTTAGGGTTGCTTGGAAAAAAGGCTCCGGGTACAGCTGTACTTTAGCACTTTGAGAAGGAGAATTTACCAGGTTGCCACAAGCCACCTGGGGCTTTATTCCAGTCACCCCTGAAGGGCCTTTTGTAGCTTGTCATTCACGCGGGATGCACTGACAGGGTTTGTAGTCTTTTGAGCTCTTCAAATGCCATGACTTTCCATGACCTTTTCAGGTTTAGCTGTCAGTTTCAAAAATTCAAAAACTTTCCATGTTTTAGAGTATTTTTTGACCTTAAACAGTTCAACGGACACAAACTCTGGCATCCAGCAAAAAATGTGTGATGTTTGCACTGTTTGATTACTCCTCTCTATCTTACATTGTCCTTGCCTTGTCATCTGCAGTAACTAATCTATCAAACAAAACTTTAATTTTCCATGACTTTCCAGGCCTGGAAAATTAAATTCCTAAATTCCATGACTTTCCAGGTTTTCCATGACCTGTACGAACCCTGACTGGGACAAGACAAACAAACAAAATTTCCATTTTAAATAATGCAAGCCCTTTGTCTTGCCCCAGTGCATCCCTTATTCTACAGCATGGCAATTTTATAGAATGTGAATTACAAGCTGCAAAGGGTCGTAATTGTTGTAAGCAACCCACATACCAAAGTATTCCGTTCTTTGGTTATTTATTGCACTCTCTCTAAGCCAGCACCTATATAATGCGATGAACATCACTGGTTGGTTGATTCCATGTCCCTCAATTATGTAATACTTAGTTCTCCATTATTACAAGGCAATCACCTCCCTGAGCAGAAGAGGGTAAGGGTATCTGGCTTATGGGGTGTAATTATTATAAAAAGAAACATTTCCCGCTGTAGCAGTTTATACATGTGACCTTGTGAGTGAGAGTAGTGTGTGTACAGGTATTTTAGTCTAGTATTTAAAATTCAACAATTAAAAAAGTTTTATTGTCAATTATGTTTCATGGATTGTCCTAAAGCTTGCTTGTTTGCTTCTGCTCCCCATACAGATGTAAAAATTGACCTGTGAATGAAAATGGATCTCAATCAATTGGTTGAATTGCCTGGTACACGTAAATCAACTTACTGTATCTTCCCCTCCCTTCTTTCAGATGATCATTTAAACCAGTCAAGAGTCGAAAGCCGCAAAGTCTCCATTATTTATAATTTATGTGACTGTCATGGGTAACCTGATAAACAATACATAATTATTTCCTTGTATTGGTGATAAAATTTTGCATTATTTTAGCATTGCAAAGTTTGTGGGATTGTTGTCACTAAGTCTTTATATCCAGCAACCATCAATCAGAACAATAGGATTTCTCAGTTACTTGCCTTCATGATGTGACAACTTTACTGACACACTAAGAAAACCATGAACACCCAAAACATTTCAGGAATCCAAATGTTAGTTATGTTAAGTCCAATCACAGCAAAGATCAGGATATGCCAGCCAGCCACAAAACCACAAAACAATAATTAGACCTGTTCCAAGGTAGAGATCTCCTCCAGTTTGACTCTCGCTAGTGACCACCTTGTCTAAATGACCACTACAGCCTAGCACTTTGAGTGTTGGTTTACACAAGTTTCCACAACTAACCCTGGCTATAACTCAAGGGAACAATGGACTTGCCTTTCCTTATCTAGTTCATCTTGATTTCCTAAATGATCTCCAGCAGAAACCACACCCTTGATTCCTCTAAGAACAGAGGTGTCTGCCTCAAGGAACTCTGATAACCAATCACAGCAACTTGTAACTACATCCTAGAAAAAAAAAAACAGGAAAGAGAAAGAAAGCCACCTTTTTAGTTTCCAGAGGCAACCTTCTTCTTTCTCAGTGACAGTGAAGACTTGAGACAGCACATAAAATTACAGTCAGTACACAGTTGGGTTTACAGTGGTTAGTAACAGTGATAGAGAAGGTGATCTATTTCTCAGAAATCACAAGGGTTTTTTTGATCACCTTATAAAGATCTAACATGACTGCCTCCTGCCAATTAACTATTAGGATTTACTTAAACCTGCCATGTTGACAACAATCTTAACTACTTGTTTCAATGATTTATTTCATCTGCTTGGCCTCCTATTCTGTTGATGTAAACATCACTAAGGAAAATAAAGCTCCTCATAATTATCGTACTGAGTTTTACGAATCGTCTTTCACGCACTAGTGCGTGAAAGACGATTCGTAAGACTCAGTACGATAATTATGAGGATTATTTCCAAGTCTTTCGAGGTTTCAGCAAGAAAAGTTACCCAGAGAAAATAAAGCTTATAACTAGATATGTGTTCATGTGATTTTCTTATCAACCTTGGGTGGGGGGAAGGGTGGTGTGGGAGGAGGAGCACTCGCCTCCCATCAATGGGAGAACTGGGTTCAAATCCCAGCATCAATCCCTAATGTGGGTCAAGTGTGTTGTTGGTCCTCTCCCTTGCTCCGAGAGGTTTTTCTCCGGGTAGTGTATGTCCAGTTTTCTCCTCTCCTCAAAAACCAACACTTTCAAATTCCAATTCGATCTGAAATGCACGGACACATTCAAATGAGATCGTAAGAACTCTTGAGTGCTCCGTGGGTACATAAATTTGCAATTCTGTAATTTGTTTACCCAATATGTTCTATGTTGCCGTGACCTACAGGAGTTTCATTAGAAGTCCAGACCCAGGTATTGGCACCAGTGTACTCTGAGCACAGTACCTGCCTTCAGGCGGAAATAAACTGTACTCTCAAATTAAATTTCCAAATTTCCCAACCTAATAAACGTTGTGCACCCTTCTAACATAAAAAAATTATAATAGTGAAAACGTTGGACATTTAGAGTTGTTTTAAAAGTTCCTTCACAACAAAGTCTGACCTGGTTTGTTGGCAGCTCACCATCAACTAGACCTAGCTGCCGTCCATATGACAGGTCTACTTTCTGTCCTTTTCCTAGTAGCTGTAGTGCTTGCTGTTTCCCTAGTAACCTTACAAGGCGAGTTCCCCCACCCCACCCTGGTGTCAGGCCCATCTTCACTTGCACAAATCTGATCTCTGCACTTTTGGACATGAGACGGAAATCACAGGCTACTGCCAGCTATAATGTGAAAAAACAATAGGATGATTACTATGACTTGTAATGCCTAAGTGGCAGCTGGCACCACTGACAAAACCTAACTTCCTGTTAAGTCCATCTGCAAGACAATGCCAAAATCCTTGTTCAGGACCTCCAACTGTGTAACAGGATTTGAATACATGCCATGATTGGCCTGTTAAAGAAGCTATTGTTTGATAGGCCAATTAGGTTAAAGGGAAATTCGAAACCCACTCTTTGTAATTTGTTGAGTCCGTCCTTTGGGGATCCAGAATAAGGATCTCAGTGCTGTTTTGCAGATGTTATTGCCAGGTTTAGATTACGTCTGTGACGCAGGCTATTGATTGAGAGGCAGCTAATAAGGACATGGCTTATCAGTGAAAACTGCAGACAAAATGATCTATGGAAATACTGTGACCCAAATACATGGGAGTTAACTGGTCTGTTTTATGGGCCCCTTCAAGGAAGGATAGATTTACTTGGAGGGATGCTACTCGCTCACACAGATACTAAGTCTGTGTCCAAGTTAAAGAAGGCAGGCAGGGGTATCTGGGCTATCAAAGAAAGGGTGGATTGTCAATGGGGTAAGGGTAGGTGGACCACAACACCCCGCCCCTGACTCTGTTTCTGGCATGTCTTGCATGTATGGTATTAATTTCTGCACTCACCTCAGCCCCTCCGCCTAATGCTCTTCCTTCAACTGCAGCCACGCTGATAAGGGGAAGCCTTCCCAGCCGACTAAGCGTTCTTTGCATGAAGGCACACATGATGTTCCCTTCTTCCGGGGTATTGATCGCCTTAACAACACTTAAATCACCTCCAGAACAAAAATATCCCTCACTACCACAAGAGCTTTGCCATCTTGCCATTGTTCAAGTTCGTCAACAGCCTCGGCCAGTTTCACCATCATATAGCCTGTCAAAGCATTTTTACGCTCGGGATTCATGAGTGTTATTACTGCAATTCCTTGCTGGTTTCCCCGCAGTTTAGTTACCGTAACATCGCCGCTTCCTAGAGCTTTGAACTTGTCACGAACATGGACTTCGTCAAACGATATTAGGGTAGAAAGCGTTCTTCTGAAATCAACTAAAGCAAAACGCCCTTTTCTTCCCAGAAAAAAACGCATTTTGATTTCTCCAGCTCCAGTGACCTTGCTAACATGCTACTACTCAAGATACATCAGAGAGTTCCTTTTTTTCTGGCTGGATTTTGTTGAAGTACTCGTATGCGCCGCCATATTGGCCGCAGAAGCCTGGTGAAGAGTACTGTTACAAACCAGCGGGAACATCTGCGGGAACAAACATAACGCGTAAAAATGCGCGTAAACTACAGTTACGTGGGTACCCTCGGTAACTCGAACCTCCTGCTAACTGGACGTAATTTTTGTTTTCCTTTTAGATCACTGATCTATATAGTTCTACCCGCGATAACTCGAACCATAAAAAAAAACAAAACAAAACAAAACAAAACAAGAAAAAATAATCAAACCAAGAATTCTTCGTGTAAATTCTTAGTTTTTTCTCTTTTTTCACTCCACTTCTAGCTTGTTTCAGGCTCTCGGATACTGGGGAAGACGTGAAAGTGAAAGGCACTCGCTTTCTCAATTCAGCGGACCCCACCGCTCAGCTCGGAGCCAGGAACAGGCTACTCCAGTTCAAATTCAGTGTCCATCTCAGTATATTAATCAAGCTTTGTTGCTCAATTCCTTTTTCAAAATATTAATCTATATCTCTTGCTGCCCTTGAAGTGAAGTATGCATGATATACCTGCCAACTCTCACGCCTTAGGCGTGAGTCTCACGCCTGCGGGTTGAAAACTTCGATCTCACGCCGGCTCACGCCTGCTGGCCAATTTCTCACGCCTGATTGAAAAATGTGAGTTGTTGCCGTCCTACTTGACACAATTTCCAAAAATACGTTAACTCAGACCCATGTAAGGAACGAAAACCATGTGTAAAATGAATAAATGGCAATACCTTCCTCGCGATCTCTGATTTTTGAAGTGAAAAGCACTGGGAGCGAGCTCGCCTTTGGCAGACTTCGGCAGACTTCGGACGTCTTCGGAAGACGTCGGATGTCTTCGGAAGACTTCGGACTTCTTTGGGAATCTTCGGAAATGATCGTGTCGTCTTCAAAAATCCCAGCACTCCCAGGATAAAAATCTCACGCTTATATCTCAGAAAAAGTTGGCAGGTATAGCATGATAGTTGCATTCCCTTCCCATTCCTTTGCTTATTTCCTTATTTCCGCTTGTTTGCTACGAACACGATAACTTGAACTCCCATTATAACTCGAACGTTTTTCGATTTCCGCAGAAGGTTCGAGTTATCGAGAGTCAACTGTACCACAGATACTTGAGTGAAAGGCACTAACATTATCAGCGTATACAGAAGCCGGGGGTAAGGCATTCGAAACCGGAGACAGTTCTAACAAAGAAACTGAGGGGCACCCAACGATAATTCCCTCCTAAATACATTGAAAACACTTTTCAAGCTATCCAGAGTACTTTTAGATATCTACAAATGCATTCTAAGAGGCGCTATAAAATTTGTATCTGTTCGGTCATCCTAGGGGAACTTGAGTCTTTTCGAAATTACAAGGGCTTGAGTATTATTTTTCTGAAAATTTTATTGACCTATTACGAACGAAAGACATTTTCTGATTCTTAACGTCACACATTTTTGAATCCAGAAATTTTAGGTTCGCTTTTTTTTTACGAAAAATAGCCTAACATGGGAAGTAAAATGTGAAAATTAAGCTTCAGAAAATCGTAGGGAATATATAAGATAAGCTTCGAGAACTGTACGCGAATGGAACGTCCTCAAGTAACAGAAAATTCTAGGCAATACTTGTTTCTCCGAACAGATATTTTACAGAAAACTGTCGTTGGGTGCCCCTGAAGAAAGAGAACTTGTGCGCGTTAATGTGCCTGTTGGCTTGCAACATCTACCCATCCTGCCTAAATGAAGTTTGACTTGACTTGATATGGGCTTGTAGCCTGCGTAGTAGCCGCTTGGAAGTAACGGGCGCAGGAAAAAAATGGGTTGCGGCCATTACTTCCAAGCGCCTGATAGGCAGGCTAACGGGCTTAGGGTGATGTAGATCAAGAAAAACACAAGTTTTCCGGCACCAATCAGAAGCCAGAACGGCGGCGACCGTTTGGAACTGGTCTGGTAAGACATTGTCCCCAGGGGCTCTTCTGGCCGTTCTTTACTTTTCTTTTGTGCCATATTTTTCCGCCCGTTTAGACTTTCCCTCGCCCCCACTATCTGCCCCTGGGTCTCCGAGGATGGACACATTTCGACTCCAGTTCCCTTCTCGTGTCTAAAGTATACCTTTGTGATATGTTGGTTATATAGGCAATCCCACAAGTGCTTGCGCGGGTACTATCGACAGAGTCCAACACTCTTTTCCAAAGTCAGCTATTTGGAGCAAATCATTCATACTTTGATTCCCTGAAGAAGTCAGGCCGTGTCTTACAAAATATTGCTCTTTTCACTGTTTGCATTCAAATGGAACCTGATCAGCAGAACTACTTTCATATGGTAACATTTATTACGCTGTACAAAGTAGATCTAACTTCTAAGGCCTCTGAAAACAATGTTCTATGGTGGTATCATTTACATGAAGCTTCTTTAACAATACGTCTGCATGGTATTTATTATCTGGCAATATCGTACGGAGCAAATTCATGCGATTGGCTATTTTTGGGAGGGTAAATTACGGTTACTGTTCACTTCTCATTTCAAACTGACTTTGAGAGCTACAGGCTTCTGCTTTGTTAATTTGAAGATATGAATTTTTAAAACTTCTCAAAGGCTTAGCAAGGCTTCTTCGAACAACGCAGTCCAATTCTGAAAATACCTTTCAGTTGGACTAGGAATGAGGCCCCTAGCCTGGCTTGATTCAAAAAATGAAAAAAAAAAAATTCATCTTTGGCATCAAAATAGGTAGGTAAAACTCTTAACAGCGGGACAACATATAACGCCCAAATCACTGCAGAGTTTTTTATACCCCTGAGATCATTTCTTGGGCCCCATCGTTGTTGAGTAACCTTTTTTAGCATTCTTAATATTATTTGACTGAGCACAGTTTAACAACCAGCCACCTCCTCAACTTTGTTCTTGATTTTATACAATTATTGCTTCTGCGTTATTTATCATCCTCTTGTACCTGCAAGATAATTTTCAAGCAAATGATTTTCCTTCAACATATTGTAAATTAATTACGATTAATATGATCCTAAAATTAATAACTTTACACATAATGTTGCTTGGTGAGTCCCCATTACGCATTTAACAAGCAAAACGTTTTCTCCAGTCCATTCGCTCACTTGGATATTTTAATTCGCGCCTATCGACCTTCCCGCTTTCTGTATAATTACTGCCCCCCCCCCCCGCCCCGCCCTTCATCTCGTTGGGACCTGAGCCCCAGGGCTTCTCGGTTGCCGTGCCTTTTTATCGGATATCACAAGTGTACTCCAAATATGGTCAACACAAGATGGTTGAGAGGAATTAGCCGGGAGATTTAAGCCAATCAGAAACGGAGTAATATTTTGAATGAATAGCAGTTATGAATAATAGGCCACTACTGAACTCCTATTATTCTCACCTTCAAAACGAGGCTAAGTGCAAAACCTTTCTTGTGAAAAGCTATATTTGCCTGAGAATTAAAAATCATTTTCATATGAATAGCTTCGCACTAAGCCTCGCTTTGAAGCAGAGACTTGGGGTAACTCGGAAATGGTCTATTGATAAACGAATGAAGTCATCAATCTCTCAGCTTACCGACCAGCACCTTGGATCAACCTGCAAGCTCTCTTAATGAAGCCAAGAACAAGTTAGGAGTAATGATACTCGTAGAACCTGCAATAGGCAAATAAATACCGTAAAATTCCGAAAATAAGCCCCTCCAAATATATGCCCCCCAATCCTGTAACGCAAGAAACCCTCTGTTAAATCGCCCCTCCAAATATAAGCCCCCGGGAGCTTGTACTTGGAAAATTATCCTCAAATACAAAGTAAAACAAAGCAAAAACGGTAAATTTACTTCCAAGTATAAGGCTAGCACAATCGATTTTGAAACGCAAATTTCCCTCCGTAGATAAGCCCCTCCAAAAATAAGCCCCTCAAAAAGGGCCTTTGAAAAATATAAGCCCCGGGGCTTAATTTCGGAATTTTACGGTATGAAGCTAGATGAAGGCCTGCTTCCTAATGTACTCAAAGGAATGTTTTTAATAACAAATCAAGTTCATTCCTATATTACCGGAAATTCAAATACTTTCTACTAATTTCCTACACGAACAAATATGACTTTTTGGTATAAGATTTCAGGGTCCTAAATTTTTCAATTCACAAAATAACAATATAAAAAGTGTCGCTAGTATCTCTCTTTTTAAATCCAGATTGAAAATATTTCTTCTTAGCTGATTCATCATTTGTAAATAATACTTGTTTTTTGCTGCGTTTTGTCTGTTTTGTTTTGCTTACTTTTTATCTTAATTATATTTCAGTATGATTTCGCCGGTATTATTTATTCATTATATTTGGTCGTAAGTTAGAGAGGGATGTCATATAATAAGCCCCAACGTTTCAATGTGAGCTTCCTCACCAGAAAAAAAAAACTTTTAATTCTTTCACTAACAATTTACGTCTCTTTAATCTTTAACTAACATTTTTGTACCATATTGAATGTCTGTACGTATGTATATGATTTTTTTTGTCTGGCATATAAATAAACTAAAACTGAAACTGAAACTGAAACTAAACTAACAGTTTTCACCTAGATTTTAAAAGGTAAAAACGTTCGGTCGGGTTTTTTTCATAATACAACACGTGAAGGTTCAGAGGATATTGACAGTTACTTTCATGAAGCAAAAACTTACCAATCAGCACTTCCCAGTCTTTTTTGGCAGCAGTTACCTAATGATAACAATAAATAAAAAAAAACATGACACATCAATGTTTCTACACTCTGTCAACTTTGAAAGTGAATGAAACATGAGAGGGTGCGAATGATCGTCCCAGTAAGCGTAGAACTGTTGATGACAGTGACTGGTTTTTGGCAATACGGAAGTCAAAAGAAGAGTCAAAGTGAACTGTGTATGGTCAAATAATAGTTCAAAAATAATAGTGACCTTAAAAATTAACTACGAATATGAAATCGAATTTTGAGCGATCTGTACATTAATTTTTCCTGCTACTGATCAGCAAATAAGATTGGAGTGATAAGAAATTATACGGGCCAAAAAAATGTGGTTTGAAACCTCGTACGTGGAAGGGTAATTGATTTCATACTCATAGTTCCAGCTAAAGATCCCTATCATATACTGTGACATTCTCACTAAAGAGTCATGTAAATTTTCTTAGGGAAATAAGTTGTGGCCAATTTAAGTCCGCGTACGATGTTCCTCATGAGTGAGAAATATCGTTCGTCCAATCAAAAGCCGTGTATGTTTGTGCGTTCATGGCAGTGCATAGGTGTCCCGCCATTTTTCCCGCCAGTTTTTTGTGTTTATGGTTCCCGCCTCTTTGCGCGTCCACGCTTCAATCATTTAACGCGATAACCCTTTGTGCTACTTTACCGATACTTTACCTCGTAAGCTGTTCTTGTTTCAGAGTAGCAAACTCCCCCAACAATAAAGATAATAAGCCGGGGACCTGCTCGAGCTTCCGTGGAGCCCTAAACAGGGATCAAAACGAGGTAATGTCACGTTAACAGCACCGGTCGCCAGGGACTAGAAAGATTTATGGATTTTATTATGGTACAAGGCAAGATGGGGAAGGAGGGAGGGAGGGTACGGGTGATTTCAGAAAAAAAATATCCTGCAGACTGATTTTGAGGCGAAAATCTAACAAGGAAAAATTTGGGGCGGGGGGTGGGGAATATCCTGCACTGAAAAAAACTCTTGCACCGTTATATGTCGGGGAAACAATTATATCTCTAGCTATCTCTAGAGGTTTGGAAAAAAAACATTCTTACCCAAACCAAAAGTCAAATAGTCGACCCCTTAAAAATCTTTAATGCCAGGACAAAATCGCTGAAAAAAAATTGAATTCTTCCCTCTTTGAAACTACGTATGTTTGTTTAATTTACTGTACGTGGAATAGAATAGATTTGGAATAGATTTGTAGGTACAGGCTTCAATGCGTAGAATATCAGGAAAATGAAAAGTCTGGTCATCACGTTCTCCACAAACCAAGCTTCTGTATACTTCACCAGGACAAATGCAACAAAATTTGGTAAATGCCGTTTTCAATACTGCAACTGTCGCAATTAAAAACATTAACCTGGTGCTAAAAAATTTTAAAAATGAAAAAGAAATACCTACCTTCTCCTTGTGCCAATGGCCATAACGTGCGCTGTTGAAATGAAAAGTTTTAATAAAGGAAACAAACAAACAACAACACAGGCAAAAGCACAAATCAAGTTTCACAAGGCCTGAAAACTTAGGGTGATAAAACTTACCTAACAGCTTGCCCTGGTCAATAGAGGAAAGAAAAACAAAACGAGGAAGTCAATAATATTTCACAAACTTCGGTTGAAATATATGTATAATAGGTATTAGGGAGCTTAAGCAAAGACGTTTTTGAGCAACGCACGTCAACCGGAAGTAAGACCTTCTCCCTTTTAACATGCCTTGAAGTTAACAAAATTTGTATTTCTAAGTTTCTTTTCTCTTATAAAGACGATTTACCCGAGAGTTTGAACCAAACCACTGCCTAATGATGCAAAAAGTCCACTTCCGGTTGACGTCAGTCGCTCAAAAACGCTGTTGCTTAAGGTCCCTATTGTGCGGTTACTCGCGCTTCGATCCACACTTTTAGCGTCCACATCGTCTACGTTAGCGAGAGAAATGAAAATCAGTCCTCAAATGTTAACCTTTCAGAGTTAAATAGAGTCCTGTCCCGTACCTTTGCTGCTCAATGCATTGCTTCCAGATCGCTGATCGGATGCAAACGGGTAAAGACTGCTGCTCAGCTTTTCATCGACGGCTTCCTAAGATAAATAAATCAACTAATTTAGTCTACGTAGGGCAAAACGTGGAGAGCTTTCTTCTAATAAACCACAAACATTCTTGTATTTATAAAAATTGAAAAAAATAGGAGTTCAGTCACGATTTAGGGATAAAGGATCAACTTAGTGTAACAAAACTGTTTACGATCTTATCTCGTAATCATAGGCGACCAAAGTATGGATGCAGCCTTATTTCCAGAGAGCATTGAGTAGGATGACTTTCACCAGAAAACTTCAATTGGTGCACCTGCTTAGATATCCTTTCGCGGGGTTCTGTTAAATCGTATCAATATGGTTACGTGGCATTTTGTTTTATTATTTTCTCTATTCATTTTCTTTGCTTACACTGCTAGTACATCCTCCATATTGAGAGCTGAGGCGCCAGAACTTGCGCGGTAAGTTTAACAAAACTACAAAGAGTGTAGAAAGCAATCATCCATCCCAGCTCGCATAATTTCCCTCGCACAAATGTCCAGTCGATAATTCAGAGCCCTACTTATAATCCCTTTTTTAATGTAAATTCCTCGCCCTCTCACAACGTTTTTTAACGGCGTGCTTCCGTATAGCCTGCCAGCAGGTTCACTTGTGCGAGTTCGGGGAAACTTTTTGGCGGCGGCTCGAGGAGAATGAGCCGTCAAAATAACTTTCCCCCAAGTCGCACAAGTGAGCAAGTTCGTAGGCTAGCTTCCACAAAGCTCAAACAATATTTAACCCTGTTAGGAGGTGCAGAGGGGGAAAACCAACCAAGAGTTCAAACTATTGTTGTGAGATTGTAGCTGCACAAACCTCCATTATGTCCTTCACCACTGGCACCCATCTAGACAGCTCGTACAGTGAAGTACGTTCCTTCCTGGTCGGCTTCGTTCCCTTTCCAGGACCAGACTTACCGGAAGAGACCATAAAACAACTATTAAAATTCTGAGAAGTAGGCGGACAAGACCTATCGAGTATACCGTGATGATAACTAACGTCGGGTATAAACGAGAAAGCTGAAAAGAAGCCCGTCAGACATTCATTTGCAGGTCTAAACATCAGGCTCAGGTTGTTAAAAAGCTGGATAGCGCTATCCACCGGATACGTATTACGGGAAACAATTGCGGTATCCGTTGGATAGCGCTCTCCAACGTTTGAGCAAATGGGGCCAGGTTTAAAGGGAAAATACACGAATACTAATAAAAGGGAGCAAAATCCCTCCATTATAAAAAGAAAAATTTGCCTGGTCCAGCAAGTCAAGTTTAAATCAAACTAACCCTGGAGACGTTTAATTGAAGAAATACGGTCCTGTAAAACATTTCAAAAACAGTGAAACAGTGGTCAGCTTGAGGACCAAACTGATCCTTTCGCTATTACACCAAGATGTGGCAAGACAATTTGACATTCTAACTTTTACACCGGTGGACGGACCTATCCAATTCAAATGAAACGTCTTTGGCAGAATTTTGGCATAGTACTAGTTAAAAGTAAAGATTCACTACTTGCATATCTCCCAAAATGCACCTTGTTTGCCCCCCAAATGTTTGCATTAGCATTGTTTTCAATTTCTCGTGGGACGGCTGCCGAGGAGAAATAAAGGTTATGCAAATTTCGGAATTCTTTCTTGAAATTTTTACTTCTCGATTATTAGTATAGGTAATAGCATGATTTGTAGTGATATTTGGCATAAATACCACGAGTGATATTTCGAAATTGTTAAACGTAAAAAATTGGAGACAATTTTGAAATATCACGAGTGGTATTTATGCCAAATATTACGTACAAATCATGCTATTATTTGTTTATACTACTACCCGCAAAGGTTTTGTAATTTTTACATGTAGGTATTTCAAATTAAGCTGAAATACCACTGCTCTAAGCCAATCAAATTGTGGGAATTTCTCATGTAGTAGTATAAGCAAGAAAACCAGCCTTAAGACGTATAAGTTTTGAGTTGGTGATCGCAATCCTTTGCTCTGGTCATTAATTTCAAACAAAACCTCTTGCAGAGAATTATTTGACTTTCAGTATTCCGTACCGTCTAGGGTTGAACCCTTGATTTAGGACGCGCTTAGCAAAGGATGAGGCCTGCACAGGAACTGAAGATTACTCTAAGTTATAGCCTGCGAAGAAGGCTTTTTGGGGCGAGTGTTTTTCGTTTGTGTTTCGATAAGTACGGGTACCAGCCACGCGAACTCTGAACCGACGTCAAACTGAGAGAAAACGATAGGGGGTGGGGGTGGGGAGGGGCGAGAGAAAAGCCTTCTTTCTCTCCCCCACCCGCCATCGTTTTCTCGCTTGTCCTCTTACTTTACGAAACACAAACGAAAAACACACCAAAACAAAACGACTGCCACGCACGATGCCTGAGTAATGATAAAACGTAATACTCACATCCTGTAGGATGGGAACTCCAAGATAAGCCATGTTTTTTATTATAGCTCTGGAAAGAAAAGAATACTTTTTACCTACATATTTAGCAACATTTTATAAACTGCCTTCACGTTTATCTAAAAGTTAACAAAAGATAAAGCTTTTTGACCAACCGATAATCTGAAGGGATCTGTGCATGTTCGCATAGCTTGGCCAGATTTTCTTCACTGATACCTACGAAACAGGAAACATTTTAACTTTAATACCTTCTTTACAGTAAATATACAGTGAAGATAATTACTTTGTAAAAAGGTTTTTACTGTAAACATAAACAATAAGAACAAACGTTTCCAGGAACGTGACTAATGCGTCTTTTATTACAAACCTACCATTTTTGAAGATAATGTACAAGAGAATTATCCTTATCTTGTCTAAAATGCTGCAAGGGAGATAAAATACCAATCAAACTAGTAATGTAATAATACAGACAGGTAGTGTTGACATAATAAAGGTCACTTATTTAAGACAGATTAAAGCCGCTATGTTCACAGTATATCGGTATGGTGTGGACAGCAGCGGCCCGGAACCGGAACAAGTCGTTCACTGAGGAGGCAGCGTGGCCGAGTGGTCAGCGCGTCGGACTCGCAATCCGGCGGTCCAGGGTTCGAGTCCCGCTCAATCAAATATTCTCGGTCGAAATAAGTTCAAATAAGAGGCCACTCCTTGTAAATAAACAACTCCATTTTGTTTCATGCCCGTTGACAGTTTTAATCATGTTATGCAAAATTTGAAAATTTGTTTCTTTAATTTAAGTGGAGTGCCTGTTAACCGGGCTGGACAATTAGTGCAACTTTCCAGAAATAAACTCCGGGACCGGAACCTTTTTTTTTTTCAACACACATCAAACATCGTGACGGCGGGGTTGGCCGAGAGTCGGGTTTAGTGAACTAAATCCCAGTTCTCACTCCTGAATATTTACTTCTGTCTTAGTGGGTTCCAGTCTTCTTTCTTACTTATTCACTTTCGCTACGGTCCGAATAGGTGTTTACACTTCACCAAAGTATGGCACACAACCTATCCGATATGTGACGCTCCACTTTCGAGATCGGCGTGAAGCAGCTTTGCTCCGTAACAGAAACCGCGTGGAAATCAACACTCTTGGGTGTGAACAGAAGCCCCAGGGGCGGATCCAGGATTTTTTTTAGGAGGGGGTGCACTCGTCTCTTGCTCTACTTCAACACCAATAAACCTCATAGTTTTTTTTTTTTTGGCAGAATACCAGTTGTATTAGAAAACCGCAGGTCATCTCAGGGAGGGTGCGCACCCCCTGCACCCTCTCCCTAGATCCGTCCCTGAGCCCTCATCCTCGGAGACCCAGGGGCAGTTAGTCAGGACGATACAATAGCCCTATACGGTAGGGTTTTCATGTCGACGCAAAAGCTATCCGGTAGGGTGTGAACACGGACCTTTTTCATAATGGCGGCCTACGAATATATTCCTTATATGTATGACAATTAACACCTTTCTGACCTCGTTTGAAAGTAAGAGTTTTTTTTGTATTTGGCACATGCTAACGAGGTCAGAAAGGCTAATTATCATACATATAAAAGAGTATATCAATAGGTCGCCATTATGAAAAAGTAAATTTCCTGTTAAACAAATTGTCCAAAATTGCGAAATCATATCTTGGAACTTAGAATTTAGTAGATTTAACATTCGCAAAACCATAATCTGCGCAAAAGGACATCTAAGTGTGGTCTCGAATCCAGCAGTTCATCTGTGATATATATAATGAAACACTTAACGTAAAAAGAACCAAGAGGGAGTATACACCGGTAGCACTCACTGAACGTCTGAATTCAACAGTAGTGGCACAATACTCTTCATGGGGTCTTTCATGCTCTCGCCAGCTTTATCCACACCAGTAGCAAGATCCTACAAGAATTTAGGGTTAGACTTTTCCGGCAAATACACGAACACGCTGTCTGTAAAATGTAGCGTAGCCGAGTCCAGTACGAAGAATTACGAATCACCTTAAAATGTGGCTTAATGTAATTTAGGCGAGGTTAAACACGACAAAATGTTAGTCGGCGGTCTCTTACACTAATCGTATGTGGGGTGGTCTTTGGCCATTTACAGGGCCTCAGTAATTTTACTGTGCTCTTGCTGAGGTCAATCATTTTGTTATAAAAGTTGCCTAACCCTAACCCTTAACCCTAACCCTAACCCTAACCCTAACCCCATGCAGTCGTTTAAGCAGGTTTTGCTCCCAGCCCTCCCCTCCCTCTGGATGAGCCTTGACAAGTATCTACTATACTCTAAACTGAGGTTCTCAGTGGGCAGTGCCTGGTGGTTGCCACCAAAGGGTTAGTTACCTTCCGCGTTAGCTCGCGGTTTCTTAATTTTATCGGGTGTTTCTCAATTGGTATTGTGGAAACCATTGTTAGTTCGCTTTTGTGTGGAGTGGTGGGTATTGTTGAGTGTCTTTTAAATCTTTCTTAAGGCACCATCCTTTCACCAATCGTTTGGCAATAGGTTTAAACTGTTTCAACCTGAACTTTCTACTACAGTGGCTAATAAGAGCAAAACATTCCCCAAACCCCATATAAGTTAAATTCTGCGACGTGTTTTGAATTCTGGGAAGTGTTTAGTCCCTGAGTCACCGTAAATTACATTGTCAAAAGATTTACCTCGTGAAAGGCCATCGAAGCTATGTGAGAAAGGAAAGCACAAACATTCAGGCTTAAACGGGATTTGAACCCAAGAGCTCTAGGATAGCGATGCCGTCATCAACGAAGAAAAGTACATTCAGGCATAGGTGTTGCAGCAACTAGCCTTTTTCAGTGTTAGGTCATGGGTCTGAATTCCCTTCACGCCAGATTTTTTTGCAGGCTTTTTCTCCCAACTTCTAAAAGGGGCTTTGTCACGAGGATATTGTACTGCTGTTTAATGTCAATTCTGTACTGAGGGCAGTTATTATTTAGTGGCTTTACCCATACACAAAATGCTAGTGCCCAGTTACGAAAACGAACAAAATTTCACCGGGGAGCATTAAACACAGTAAATCTTTGGTGTGAAGGCATACAACTGTTTCAATAAAACTTGAAAAGGCTGACCCTTACCGTCGTTTCAACAGACGACAGGAGACAGTCTTAAAAAAGAAAACCAGACCATTTTTCAGAGTGAAATTTACGTGAAAACAAGTTTTAGCTTTTTAAAAATATAATAAATAGCGTGACATTGCCCCTTTAAGTTGCATAAATGATAAATGTTGCGCGATGATCTTGCTTTCACATTATGAAATTTTGATATAACACATTATCAAGAGAGACACTTACCTGCTCCACAGCACATAGATCCTTCAGAGCAGTTTGATTATACCGCTTCATACAGTCTTCTGCGAGATGCAGTTGAACGATGAACTGAAAGACAAGAGAAAAAATAACATTGGTCTTTCTTTCATGGTTAATGCCATAGATCTATTCACCCAGGACAGCTAACTAGCACCGGTCAAGTCCAAGAACAGATCATGAAAACAATGGACGCTATAGGGAGCGTGCGTGATTGTGGTGCTGTTAAACTGAATGCAATTTCCTTCAATGGCCATGTTTTTGAAAAGATTGACAAGTGGCTTTCGGTTGTTACATCTTTTTTTTTCTCCCAAAAAAGAAAAAAAAACTGCAGATAGATATAATAGACTAGTTTCTCCCTGAGTGGCTACTCAACTCAAGTATACAAGTATATTTTTCAATGAAATCTTCCTTTGAACTGTGTTCCTGTTTGCCTAGGATTTAAATTTCAGTGCTATGCTAACAAGGACAATTACCTTGCTGACTTCTTTTTGATATTGAGGCATCTTCTTCAGGATAACTTGCAAATCCCGCATTGTTGTCTACATCAGCAAGTAATAACACAGGTTTAAACACGAAATTTAGGACTAGTTATTAAAACAGAGAGTTAAATGGAGTTTAACAAAACGCCACGTTCTAAACCAGTTTAAATTTGGCCACCTCTTACATCTAGACATTAGAGAGTTAAAGCTTCACGTGTACGGCGAACGTCAGATTCAAGTTGAGAATTTCCCACAATAAAAAATGAGCAGATAAAAACAACTCAAAACAATTCTTATGGGAAAAAAAGTTGCTTGAAACTACTTATTTATGTGTAGAAATAACGAACAGTAAACGACAAGTAATGGGGAAACTTGGTCACGTGGTTTAAATTAGAGTTTGCCGTAAACGTGATGCTTAACCTCTCTATTGGACAGCTTCAAGGGGCTATGCCACGAAGATATTGCTGTTTTAGGTCAATTCTGCACGGAAGACATTACCTAGCGGCTTTGCCCATACACAAACTCCCCCTGTAGAGTTATGAAGAAGATATCAAGCATTTTTCAAACACCTAGCTCTAAGTCCTTATAATTGTTTTGGTGATTTTAGTACGCATAGCATTAAAACTTGAAAACGTTGGCCCAACTTGTTCAAGTGTCAATCCATGTCCATCCTTGCCATCCGTTACAACGGACGACAGTAAACAGCTTCAATGCCTAAATATAGTATTAAATAACAAAACTGGTTCATTATTTTTGGAATACAACGGATGCGAAAAAAGTTTCAGCATTTCAAAACAACAGAAAAAAAAACACTGAAATAGCGTGACATAACAGCTTTAAACAACGAGGACGCTGACGTCCCTTGCGTCCGGCAAAAAGAACAACCGAAAATTGATCTTTTGTCTCTTTCGGTAGTCCAAGGGTGGATTTCCACGGTAGCGTGATTTTTGCGTGCGTTAAAAATAAAATAGGGGCAATAAAGGAAAGATCGCGCGTAAACGTAGAGTTAAGCGAGGTTTAACGTGAAATTAACGTGCGACCGCATGTAAAAAAAAGTACATGACAGTAGAAATCTACCTTAATTTAACTCTGGCAATCGGTTTTGGAGGCCTAGTTGGGTTATTTAAGACTTTGCGGATCCTACTTATGTCTGGATGTGTCAGCATAAATGTGGGGGAATAGCGCACGTTTTGAGGTGAAATTTCCACAGCGGCACCCAACGTCGAGTTTCGGAAAGTATCTGTTCGAAAGACGATTTGAGATCTACAATTTTCGGAACATTTGTTGTGAAGTTTCTTGCTTGCCTGCCTCGCCTATAGGATTTTCGAACATCTAAAAAAAGGTATAATCGCCCATTTTAACGGATTTTTACCCTAAAAAGGTCACCTAGAATTTTCGGGAGCCTTTTTTCTGGCTGAAATTTCGGAAAGGTAAGTTTTGATCCCTATAACTTTCGGATCACTAGACTTTCAGCTAGGAAATCCGAACAGATGAAACATTTTTAGCGCACAGAAATATGCCTATATCTACCGTTTAAATACTGAAATACGTTTAACAATGCTATGTTTAAGTGGTTTTGAACTATATTCTCGTTGGGTGCCCCTGATTCCAGGACTGCAATTTGCTGGTCAGTCACGGGAGATATCCATTTCTGGGAGGCGTCCGTTACGGCTGGAGGTTCCACCGCATTTAAAAGCAGTTTTCTTTGGCTTTATAATTACCTTATTGGAAGTAGAAATTTTCTTGTCTGCAGCAAACTCTTTTATTTCTGAATTTACTTTCCTGAAATGTAGAAACATAAATAATTCGGTGGAAGTTAGGTGTAACGGTAGATTCATGCTGAAGACATAATGACATCACATGTATTTTGCCACAAAATGGTATATGGTTGCCTGAGAAGAAAGCCGACATTTTGCGACGCCACTTACGGGTTACCCACGAAATAACTTCTTAGCAACGAGCACAAGCAATTTTGAACCATTCAGAAGCACTAGTGAGCGTAGTGACGTCAACAGCACGGAATTTCTGCACTCTTTTCCCAGGCGTCATTTCGCGTGGAAACCGTTGGTGGCGTTGCAAATTCTCGGCTGTTTTCTCAGGTTAGGTACATGGGCAATTGTAGAAACATTGTTAGAGATACCTTAAAACGTCTGCTATGTGTTCATGGCGATTCTTTACCCACATTTCATCATTCTCTGTGAAAAATTCCAAATTAAGCTTGACATTAATACAATAATTTCCTTCAATTCCCACGTGAAACAAAGGAAAGTGATTGTTTCTTGGTGCTACGGACACTATTGTTAGTTTGCTCTTGTTTCGTGGTGCGGACATTGTTCAGTGTCTTTTCAACTTTCTGTTTTGTGTCATTTGGTGATTGCACCCGTTCGCAAAACCAAGATAGAACCAGGAAAGTGGGAGAAGTCCGCATGCAAGCTTATCATCAGGAAATACAATGTATGCTGTAGGTTCAAAAACAGCTTCTTTTTCTTGCGAAACAGAAAAATCACAAAGTTGTCTTATCTCACCATCGAGGATGGTTTCCTTTTCTTCACCACCAGATGATGAAATGTACCTGGAACAATGCAATCAAAGAACTGTTAAGATCTCAGTAGAATTTAGACAAATAAACTATGCTGTATATGTTGAGGTTCAATTAATTTTCATTCACAATTTAAATTTTATTTTTCTTTGTTTTTGGGTATGGTATGTTCGTATACGATACCGTAATTAATCAAAAGAAAATACAAATTTTAACTGAGGATAAAACTGAACTGCGACATGAAGGAGGACTCTCGGTAAGGGTAGATTGTACAGTACAGTAATGCCTTGTACAATATTACGACATGTAGTATATATTCATATTTGTAAAAGGCCGGGTAACATAAAGCAAAAGCTTCCTGGTGATTACAGACATTTTTTCAGTTTGTCAATCTGAAAAAATCATGCTGCAAAGTTTGGGTTCACCTTACAGTGTATAACCAAGCATGTCTTACAAGACAAAGATAAGGCATATATACATAACTTGTTGTGAAAGTAAAGTGGGCTGGGGATAAGCGCTTAAGACATTTTAAATTCAATGGCTCAAAGCCTGACCCTGGCCCAAAGCACTATTTCTTGCCTCCTCTCTCTACCAGGCATGTAATTCAATACTGATGGGGTAGGAGTTAGTCTCCTTTCCAGCTTCTCTAGCCTGCGTAGCAGGCGCTTGGAAGTAGTGGGCACAAGAAAAAACGGGCGCGCGAGAACCCCTTGCGTGTCTCCTCGCAAGCGCCCGTTCTCTCTTTCGCCCGCTACTTCCAAGCGCCTGCCACGCAGGCTACAGCTTCTCTTTATTTCATCACCCAATGCTCCTGGGGAGGAGCATTGCATGACAACACTAAAAATGGCTGTGTGGGAGAATAAATTGGAGTAAGAAGTGGGTTAGTTATGGAATTAAAATGAATTAATTGTCTTTGGAGTGAGGGAAGACACAATTGGTTTGCAGTTATTCACTGAGCTGAACCTCTGCATAACATTTAAGGGTCAAAGAAACTTACTTGTACACATCATTAACAATGTGTAGAAGATCATAAGTCATTGCCTGGAAAGGAAAACACAATTCAGGAAATAAATAAATAATAGAATGTTATAACAGGAATCCAATAACAAATTGTCTCTGTAACCCACCACACCTCAACTAATGTTAAGGATGCTTATAAAAGAAATTAAATGATATAATTCAAACTTTACGCTCAGCGCAAAATTCTGGAAGATAATTGGCTTCATATATTACTGATAATTTGTACTATCATTTCTTTGAAAGCATAACTAAGCAAAAGCATGATTATTGACATCACTTGTGGGACATTAAATTTACTTTCTGAAAAAGAGTTAGAGACTTCTTCTGGGAAATAAATGCACTTACTGGCCGTACAATAAACTGAAAATTGTTCATGCTCCTACACCTCATGCAGTATGTATTTGAAAATTCTTGTTTGTTTTACAGCCAGACCATTTATTTATTTGCTGGTAAAACACTCAAGTAAGTCTCTAACCCTTACTTAAGAATAAAGATTGTTTTGGATAAAATTGTTAAGACAAAAAATAGCTATTTTTTCCTGCCATCCTGACAAAAATGGAATCTGTCACCGAATGAGTGCCCATCTTCCCTCCTATGGCTACCTGATCCAATGTTGTTTAGGATACGTAACACAAGAATTATACACGTTGGTTTTTACACTAAATCAACAATGAATAGGGGTTGGGGAGGGGGCTTAACTTTTCTGTTTAAAGGAAATGGTGGTATGGCATCAAAGTAAGAAAATGGATGAAACAGTCTCAACAGTTTTGTCCTAGGTTGTATACGTAGCTCTGGAGATGATGAAACTGAAAGGGTTCCTTACACGCTCTTAAGATATGCATAATTTTTGTACGTAATTTTTGCGTGCTGGAGTGGAAATTAAAATCACAAACCTGAAAGGTGAGTTCATGAAGCAAAGGAGAGACTGTGTCAAATCCTCTACAATTAACATAAATAAAAAATCATTTCAAATTATTGTAGCCGTATTTTAAACTATAAAGAAGTAGAAAAAGAAAATAACACTAAAAAAACTGTAAATAACATTATACTTATCACTGTTACATGTACCTGTCTAGTAAAATGAGCTGAGACCGATGCTTTTGGGGCCCCTGAAAGACAAAAGAGACGAATTTGAAAACAATAACAACAAAAATGTTAAGGTTGCAATCTTTATTTGATTTTAAAAAATTTCAAACCAATTTTCTGTGAAATTCAGAAAACCCTGAACACCAGGGATATATAATTCTGGGATCCTAGTGCAAGAAGAAGCCAATCAGGTGTGGAAAACAACAGCAATTTTTTGTGGTTTTGTGACTTGCTTGGGTGTCTTGATCTTTGCTGTAATTGGTCATAATAAAATAAAACAGTCTGAAAGTAATTGTGGTCTTCTTTCTCTCAGACTGTGGTACAGTGTGTGTAAAGGAAAGGTGAATTGGTTTGACAATAACGATAGTTTGCCACTCCACCGGAAAAATTCTCTTTAATTTGTCCTTGCAAACCACAATGAAAACTTTGAAGAAGAGACGACAGTTTGCAGTGATCTAAGTACAGCCCATAATAATGGCTTAGTCTATTCCAAGAATGACCACTCCCTCCCACAACCCCTTCCAAAGGCACTTTTATGATATTACATACAATTTCTATCAAGAACTGTATTTATTATACCTCTCCCATGCCTGCTGGGTCATCTGCTTTGTATGCATGAAGTTTTGATTGCACAGCATTGGCTAATTCAGAAAGATGAAGACCATCCCTGTTAGCAAATACAGAAACATTTAGAGTCAAATAAACACTGAAAGAACTATACTTCCACCACTCCAAATTAAAGGTTTATGGCTTATATGGGAAAAGGGTAAAAGATGCAAGTTATACAGAAACACGACTTGTGTACAACACTTACCAAGTTCATTAATCAATCTGACCCATATTCAGGACATTCACTAATCAAAAAAGACTCCTACTTTGTGTAATAATATTTCAACTTACTTTCTGTATCTGACTGAAGGATATTCACCCAGAGTGGCACATAATGTGGCAATCTGTTCAGCTATTTTCTGCAATAATTAAAAGGACCCAAATTCATGTAAAAAATAGTGATGCAAACAGGATTCTTCCATGCTTTGATTGTGTTAGATCAGTAAACCTGTTTCAGACAAGGAACAGGAGGGGGGGGGGGGGCTGCCTGAACCTGAACCTTCACCATCAAATTTATTATTATAATCCAAGTGATTTAACCCTTTCAAGAAAAATTGCAAATTGAATTTAAGTGTTAACAAAGATAAAGAAAGAGAGGCATGAAAGAAGCTATCCATATCCAGCTACTAAAACCATCTATGACCACGGGAACTTGGGATAACTTTTGACTTCACAACAATAACAAAGTTTGTTGTGGAAATGTAGACTTAATCAATTCAATTCAATATGCAATATTTAAAATAAAGGCTTGAATCATTGGCTTATAATCTTACAGCCAAGTGCACAGACGATCACTTGCACTGGTAAGCATATAATAAGCAATTACAAAATGCAAAACTGTCTCTTGTTTTTTCCCTACCTCTACATGTGATTCCAGTGCACTCACATTTGATAATGTCTTAAGCTGAATGCCCCTGGAATCACTCTGAAGTAAAGAAAAAATACTTCTAAAAGCATGCAAAAGCACACAACAGGTAATAAATAACCACTACAGCATATACAGCTGTACAATGTACAATATAAAATAAAAACAAAAACAAAAAAATACTAATTACATGGTACAATGTATGTATCTAAAAGCAATCAGCAGTTTTCAAATTACGCAAGAAAATGATTACGCAGATCACAATATTAATGATGTACATTATCAAGGGTAGTAGTCAAAACTTGAAAGAAAATATTATATTTTACCCCAGTTTTAACTCACATAACCTGAGAATCTCAGGTTATATGAGTTAACTTCCTCGCTAATGATGAGCTTGGGAGCAGCCGCCTTAAAGGTTAGTAGGAGGCCAAATGCAATAAGCAGAGAGGAGGTACCCACGGCAACCCTGGAAGCGGGAACCACCCCAAGAGTGACCACTAAGCGGCACCAAAACACTGAATGAAATACAGTGGAGATACTTACCTAAGAGAATACTTACCTGAGAAAATACAGTCTTACAAAACCACCCAGCAGGGAGGGAGGAGAGGGAGCAAGAATCCGCAATGATTCGCAAAAACGCAAACATTGATCCGCTACGATCAGCAAGCAAAGCTACAATACAACTTAACACTAACAAAAGAGCACACAAGGAGCCCTCCAATTCCCCAAGGGTTGAGTGGGAGAAGACTGCTGGCCAACTCGCTCAAGTTTAACTTTGCCTAAATCATGACATTTAGCCACATTTAAAACTAGGGTGAACATAAACTACTCTAAATAAAATCTCATTCAGTAATCAAGTACTTAATAAATACCTCAGAATACTGAAAGCGCTGTGCTTGATCTGAAGGTTCTGGGCCATAGAAACTATGAAATGCTTTAGGAGTGTCCAGAGAATAAACCTACAAACCATAAACACACTGTAAAAATTTTGTAGCTATTACATGTACAACTACATACTACCGCTATATACTACTGCCGTGAACTGAGCTTTTCCAGAGCAAGGCCCTTTGGATTATGTGTCAAAAGGAGCATGTTTCTGTATGAAACATTCAGAAAATAAAAGTTCATCTGGAACTGTCATCTTGCTGTGCTGTTTGATATACAGATGGATATTGAATATGCAATAAAAATCTACACTTAGGCAGCCTCATTAAAGATTTTGAATACTGGTAATCTACATGACTTTCCATGACTTTTCCCATGACCTTTTCAAGTTTTCCACGACCTAAGGTTTAGTTGTCACTTTCAAAAATTTTCAAAATTTCCCCTGCTTGGGGGTATTTTTTTACCTTAAACCGTTCAACAGGCACAAACTCTGGTGTCCACCAAAATGCATGCCGTTTGCACTGTTTAATTACTCCTTTCTATCTTACATGTACATTGTCCTTGCTTTGTCATCTGCAGTAACCAAACTACCAAAAAAACTTTCATTTTTATGACTTTCAAGGACTGACAATTAAATTCCATGACTTTCCAAGCCTGGAAAATGAAATTCTTAATTCTATGACTTTCCAGGTTTTCAATGGTCTGTATGAACCCTGTGTAAAGCATTTTGATCTGTCATTTTTTATAAGTTGCAGGTTTATCAATCCCATAATTAACAATAAAAGCAAAAACACAAAAAAGTATTCCAAATTTTTTGAAATTGAAATTATGCAAAACACAAAACACCCACTAGTTTGGTACAATTTATCTAGTAATCTTCATGGTAATGTATCTGATTGAACTCAGTAACTGGTTTAACACAGCATACCTGAGATTCATATGGTAGAAATGCAATGTTTATCTCCTTCAGGGTCTTCACATCTATGATTAAGATATCAAATATTTTTATGCCATTCATTGGGAGGAAGATGTAAAACCTCACTCCCTCAAAATTATGACTGGAAATTGAGCCTAGTTTTTACTACAATAATTTAGTAACATTGCACTTTTAAAATTTATATTTGTTGACATGATCTACAAGTAGCCACAAAAATAGTTGAGATACTATGAGCTAAAGGGCCTTTCTAAAGTTTTGCTGACACAACATGTATCTACTTTAAAAAGGAAAAATAAGCCTTCCCTACCCTACCCCCTCTAGGCATAGCCTGCAAAAACATCTGTCTCTCTTCATTCTTCACCGCTAGAGACATTTTACCAGGAGGGATGTCTATGCATAAGCGACAGAAACACCATACTGATGAATTAAAATCTGTCTGGAATCTGGTCATGAGCTCTGATTGGTTGACGTAGGAGTTATATTGTTTTATTATTGTTTATGAACGACAGACAAAAGATAAACCATCAAAAGGTCAAACACAAACGTAATGAATCTGCTACTCAACAGTTAATTTTTATGGGTTATAACTATTCTTCTTAAGCAGAAACATTTGAGTTTAGCTGGAGCTTGTTCGCTGAAGAACACAATACTTTACCACAATCGATCAGGAGAAACATAAACATTTGGAACCCCATGGCTACCAAATTTCTTATGCACAGCTGTAAACATTGATTTATGTCATCACTATGTAATTTCTGTCGCTGGGGGGCAAACATTGCTCCAGGCAAAATGCCCTGAGCGACAAGGAGCAAGGAAAGACGACTGCTGTTACAGGTTTAACTCTAAACAATGTTGTACTGCTATTCAAGCTACTTTTAGGAGACAACAAACATCTCAACTTTGAAGGGAATGATGGGTGAAAGGGAACAGACTGTTTTTTTTTCCTCCTAAATATGCCCCATTTGATGACAGTAACACAAAATGTTCTCTCTGATGGTAGACTATGTTGCAAAATTAAAAGACATTGAATGCACTCACATTTAGCGATCCTGGACATTTCACTTATCAGAGAATCTGGGCAAACTATAATAGTAAAGAAAACCCAGTTAATGACTGCATGCACATCAAATTTCATAGAACACAACAACACTATATCTGAAAATCAATATTGAATAAGAATAAAGATCAAGACAAGTCTACTATTAAAATTTGACTAAACAGCAGATTGTAAAACTAAAACTATGACACCCTTTCTCTTACACAACCGAACAAAAGTGAACAAAAACTAATGTAAATTTTGTTTTCAAGCCAAAGAGATGGCGATGTTAATTGCACCAGTGAGATAAATGTAATCTTAGAAGGGGGACCAGATCACTTGTGGGTGCCATCTTATATTACCCACGCTTAAACCCCTCTACTGTATAAAATCAAAAGAAGCTGTACCTTCAGTGAAAAATATATGAGCAGCTTTGTATCTGTGATTACCCTCAGTGAAATCTTCAACCAACGCTCTTACTGACTGTTTAAATACAATTATTTATAACAAATATTATTACTACAAAAATATTTGTTTTACATCTTTTGTGGTCCAGCCAGAGATGCAAATAACAGTTGGCCATTGGAATAATGTCTTAAAAAAATAATTGCCCTATGTCTGACAAAATCTTAACCGTGGCCGGATAGGAATCGAGTCTGATATGCAAACTGTCTGACAGTGACGTTACAATGATGTTAGTTTAATGATGTTATAACTGCATCAAAATGTCAAATAATGTTAGTCAGTTTGATTTTTATTGTTAAATGTTTTAACAAGCAACTAACCAAACAATTTGTTAATTCTCTCGAGAGTTTTTGGAATAAACCAGGCATGTACATGTACCAAAGGGAAAGCTACACAGGCTTTTTAATTAGTCACGCAACTTCAAAGTAGCTACTTCCCTGAGTAAACCCTATGATCAAATGCCATTACAGGATTCATCCATCTTAGTTTGCAGACCTACCATTTCATCTGGTGTAAGAAGGTAAATAGCTTCAAAGTTTTGTAAAGGCTGGCGTACTTTTGTTATATCTTCCACAACTACACAATAAACAAAAAATGGAGTTAGAGAACTTCAATAATCTATGATACCTATTTTTGACCACTTGAAGTCATATTAAGTTATAAGACTAGCAATACTTCTCACTACATGACATGTGCCCCTGCCTTCTAAAGATATGATATTTGTTTTAAAATAAGTCTTCTAACATTCAATATGTAATCTCTTTATTTCTATGCTCTTAGGTTATGGCACTTTAAAACTTAAAAAAAAAAGACGTTATAGTGATTAGGGTTGACCACTGAACATAGTGATCAGGGTTAAGCATTGACAATAGTGATTAGGGCTAAGCACTGAGTCGAAATGGTTCGCTTTCATTTACTGTTAGGTTTGTCACTATAAAATTGTAAAATGAAAATATAATTTGCACTCAAATCCACTGTGCGTTAGTGCTATAGGGGATGGATTCTGTTTTCTAGGACCACATGTTCAAATTCCGCTAACATTCAATATCCTTCTTTTTTTTTCTAAAAATAATTGAAGGGACTTAGACTTAGAAAAGATTAGAAGAGTAGAAATTTGAAGAGAAATTTCATATAAGTGTAGTTAAGAGGGGAAGATGGTTCTGGAAGATGAAATCTCATGCCGACCTGACCGGTCAACGATATGTTTCCATAATTTCCCAATAGCACTTAGCACGCTTGCTGAACCAGAATTACCCAAGACTGCCTTGCGAACACGCTGAAAAATTAACCGGGACCACCTTGAGAGCCTAGTCTCTTCATATCAAGAAGATTTTGCATATTACCAATACAATGGGAAAAACGATACTGCTCTACACAGGGGAATTTTGCGGGGGCCTCCACACAAAATACCAGAGCAAACACTGTACATGCACATGCATATACAATGTACAAAGCTATGTAACGCATCAAAATTAAATTCAGGTTAAAATTTTTCAACCTATGTTAATTCTCAGATGCTTTTGTCTCCTAGCCCAGATTATTCATAAATAATTATTAGGCTTAGGAGTAAAAAGGACATTGAGAATCAACCTAGGAAAAAAAATTTTGACCTGAATTTATTTTTGACTGGTAACATACCATCCTTAACAAGAACAGAAATAAACTGCTGTAAATGTCCTTAACGGAAAGCAAGTCAAGGTAATCTTACCAGATTTACAAAAGGTGTAATTTTTCAGTTGTTTATGTTCTATTTATAAATCGTCTCAAGTTACTTGCATTTAATTGGTTTTTAAGATTAACTTGACAACTTTGTTGTCCCCAGACAGAGCAAAAGAGTCAGCAGTATTTTATTTTTCCTTTCAGGCTTACGCCTTAATTAATGGTGGCTAATGTGCATGGGTTACACATGGAGTAACTTTGAAAAAAAAAAAGAGAGACTACTCATAGTCTAGCAAACTGAAGAGGGTAAGATTTCAGAACAATGACATTATATGTGTATGTATGCAGCAATTTCATCCTACTTCACACCTGACAGGGGGAGAGTGATATCCACCCCCGCCCCCAGCCCCTGTAATTTATAAGCGGGGCGTTGATGTTGGAAAACGAAATTAAATCGCCTAGTAAGCTTTTTCTTCATCATCGAATAGTGAAGCAGAATATTTCTTATTGTAGATTCGTCACTGAATATCTGTACCTATCAGAGCAAAACTCCCTAACTTATGGAAATCAGTAATTGAAATACTTAATTGAACGATTTTGGAATAATTCCGATCGATATTGGACCACTGGACAACGCTTACTTGTAATTCCTTCTTCCACAATGTCGTGCATCTTGCAGCATGATGATATGATCCTCGAACTTAACTGATCCACCACAAGAACCTGAAGAATCATCACACAATTGTGGTTTGTTTGCTTCATACACAAAAAGGACAGAAATGTATTCAAAAGCCAACGTAAACAAATTTATTGAAAATACAAGACTTACTTTCCATTCGCCAGGCTTTTGCAAAGCGCGTATCACGTCTTGCATGATACCTACACAACATACAGAAATTTAGGTATTTGGAATCATTTTAGTAGCTGAAAAAGGTTGAGAGAAAAGGCCAAACTTACGCTGTCCGACCACAGCTTTCAGCGACATGGTGACAATTTGAAGCGGAACAGAAAAACAAAGATGGCGAATAGCTTGGTAGCCTGGCCGAACAGGCGGTGCACTGGGTATATTAGGCATGTTTTGAGAGGCTCGTACCTCTCTCTTTCTCTGTGTCACTGGACTGGAGAAGTGGAAGCTGGGTATGTATACCGTTAAGCGCCAAATCTCGAACTGTTTAGTGTGGTTTGTTACATTTCCACATTTCCGTTAATTCTTTCACGGGGGAAATTACTTTTCGGAGGAGTGTCTCTAGTTGGACATGATGCTAAAGATGAAAATCAAGTTCGAATTTCCAGCATATGAATAATTCAGGCCGGATGGGTCCAAATGAGTTGACGTCTTAACAGTCCTGATAAATCAACACATTCTAGACATGTTTGGCTTAATGACTTTCTTCCCCTGAAGAGGGGGGCTTATTAAGAACGAAAGGGAGCCCTTTTTAGGGGGAGCTGAAAGGAGGGTTCACGGTACTTTAAAATTTCTTATAAAAAAATTACATGGGAAGCTTCTCGCAAATGGACCTCTATACTAACCACAATTTCTGGATCCTCACCAAAATGGAAAGGAGAAATCTTGGAATAATTATGTTTAGGATTTCTTGCCAAGTGTTAACGTTTGTAACGTCGTTTGCAAGCCATTTAATTCAGTAGAGTGGATATAAGTTGAACGAGTAGGCTTCATAACATCTCTTCGTTTTAATCGGGATCGATCTCCTTTGCCAGAAAAAATTGCTCCTGTTTTCTGTTAGACTTGAAACATCCGGCCCCTGTTTATCAAGCAGGGTCAAGATGTCCGTGGGTTATGAATATGAATGTTAATCTGAACGCCTTAAAGCAATTTAGGGCCTGTTTACATGGAGGTTGTAGACCCCAGGTAAGTGAGGTAACCATGCTTAGGCGGGGTAAACTGCCTGTCCTGATACAATCTCTCATTTTAATTTGATCACGTTCACATGATAGGTGGAGTGACCCATCGTATGCTACCTCACCTACCTGGGGTCCCCCACCTCCAAGTAAACAGACCGTCAGGTGTAAAATATTTTTATTCTAGAATTTGATTTCTAGATTTGCCAGACAACTTGGGACTAGTTTAAATTGAAAAGCTCTTTTAAAAAATAATACAACAGCGTTAATTCTTCCGGCTTTCGGTTTGACCCTCTAGTAAAATAGAAACTGAGAAGGATGTAAAAAAAAAGTTGATGTAGTTTATCGTTACCAAATAAGTAAACAGCTGGTTCGTGTTATTATCTACAAGTACACTTAACTCATTGATTATACTTCGGGGCTAGCTTTCAAAAACAGGGATATCTCAGGAAAACTATTGAAATTTAAATTTTATTAACTTGGTTTAATAAAAACAAATACATTCTTCAGTTTACTCAACAAATAATGTTTAAAACTGCAGGTGTCATAAACCTTATTACACGGCTTTTACATGTATTGTAGAAACAATAATTTTCTTCAGTTGGTTCGTTTCATCCTTAACCAAGGTTATTGTTACAACCTGATTTCCGATTCCATCCAATCCAGCCGCATATTTCTCTAACCTTTTGGGGAGTCAACCGTATTACGACATTTGCTACTTTGTTATTAATGGCGCTCGATAAGATTCCGATAATGTATCGATTTCGTCGGTTGCGAAGGAGAGCGTAGACACCAGCTCCGGAGCAGCCTCTGGTGGCGTCACATTTATTCAAGATTACACTTCGGTAGGAGCTCGAGCTTGGCGCCCAGCCGACCGGGCATGACGAATACCACATCGAGTTCGCTCGTTTGTCGTTCGGAAAGCAAGCAAAGTGCATTGTGCCCGTTGTTAACACTTTGAGTGTTTTTATTGAGAAAGCTTTCATTGGGAGATATGGCCTTCCATGTGGCAGCTGAAGTGTCAATACCGCATAATCGTACTCTGGTTTCATAGGTTTCACTTTGTACCAAGCGCGTGGCAAAGACATCTTCTTTACACGAAACTTGGAAAAGCGGCCATTTGCTTGGAGAACGTCCACATGCAAAGCGCGCTTTTTGGTCAAGAACCTGCGCCCGTCGTGGAAACAGTGAGCAGCGGACAGAACATGGCGTGGACCAATCAGAACTCCAGAGCATGACTCTTGCGCGTTCATCGTCACTTTGACAACGGCTCTGAAGGGCATGATCTGAGTTTTTGAAGCTTTCACATGAATTCTGTCATCAGGACCCACAATAATTCTCTTATAGTTTAAAATTTCATCAGCTGCTGAGCCAGGTATTGCAGGTATTGGCTGAATATGAGGAGAAGTTTCTTGTGGCGCGTCATGATGGTTTGAAGTGACTCGTATATGAAAAGAAGATGTCGAGTTGTCGGTCTTGTAATCATTCTTACTTTCCTTCAACGACACTAAAACAGGAACAGGCAGGCAACATTGTCAGAAATCAGTTCAGTTGGGTTGTTTTGAAAGAGAATGTCGAGGGCTTATGCGCCTTGGAAATAATGTACCTTAAACACATGTAGCAAATGCCTAAGCTTCACCAGAATAAATCACCAGCAATTAAAAATAAGGAGAAGAAACGGGTGTAAAGAGCAAAGAAGTATGGGCAAAGAGTTGGCGAGCATTTCCGACCTCGTTTCTCTTGTTAACCAATGGAAATTTTACGTTCCTGGAGAACCAGAGATTTTACTTCCTTTTTTCTCTAAACTGAATTAACAAACGTCTTTTGCTTCCTACCCCACCCAAGCCTCCTCCTCATGCTCCGGTGGCATTGGCACTCGATAAACTTGCGCTTTCATCAAATGAAATATTGGAATAAATAGTCGGTCTGAAAATGTGCGTGAGTCTGGGAACAAGTTGTGTCAAATAGGCCATTTCCGAGTTGCCCAAGCCTCTTTTTCAAAGCGAGGGTGAGTGCGAAGCCATTGCTATAACAATGATTTTTTACTCTCATGCAAATAAAACTCATTTTCGCAAGGAAGGTTTTACACACCAACCACGTTGCTCATAGCCTCGTTTTGAAAGTGAGAATTTACGGAACTATTGCACCAGACTGCACCATGGGACAAACAGAGTAATTTAACACAGGATTTACCGCATTCTCAATTGCAGCTTTAAAACCGGCCAGTAGAGTACTGTAAATAGTCCACTAAAAACAAGAAACAAGTTGAAATACGAAGGAGGCTGCTTTGGTTTTTTCCTAGCGTCATACGAAACACCAAGATAAAGCCTGATCTCAGGTTAATGATAAGTGACCGGGCCAGGAGAGAACCACTACGCTCTCAGTAAACAAAAAGATGAGTAAATTGAAAACTAAGAATCATTTCTTTAAAATTTCTTTTTCCTCCGTGGGAAGCAATTGATACTAACCTGAGTCCTTGTATGGGAATTCGGAAGATATTCCTCGAGCAATCGCAAGGAAGAGTACTAACCTAAGACTGAACGCTAACCTTAGACAGAGCATTTCTAGCGCAAATCAAGCGAAAGTTTTAAAGGTCAAGTAAAGCTTTCGAAGTAATATACGTTGGTCATTTATATCATTTGTTAAACAAAATGATTAATGCATGACGCTTGTTATAAGCCAAATAAGCGCATTACGCCCACAATTAAAAAGCAACTTTGTTTCAAAACAGGAAAGGGGCTTGAATCGAGATATATAGACCACTTTACAAATTATCATAGAAAAGACTGATTTATGCAAACTGAATTTTATTTTTGCAAGCTGCTATGAATCAAGTTAAGAATTAACCGGAAAAACGTTCTCCATAGCTTGTAAATGAATAGCCTCGTTCGTTTACTTTTTTTTAAACACCAAAGAGGTTATTCTAAAAAGAGTCGCTATTTTTTGACACTATTTCTTTTTTATCAAATTTAAAACAGAAATCAACGCGGTCAGGGCAACGCAGTATTCTTTCTAGTGTGGATCCGCAACAATGTATATTTGATTACTTCAAAAGTAACTGAGTTTTGGATTATTTTGACAGTACGTTCTTGTACATTCTTGAATTAGGAAGCCTTTTAACGCTTTAGCAGAATTATCGGAGCAAGTATTTAGATAATGCAAAGTTAACGCTTATTTCGTCACCAAGTCAGTTCACGGTTCAGCTGACACGTTCTGACTTTTCTTCTTCTTTCCAGATCAGTTAGGCATGGGGATAAAAAAGCGAGGATTTTTAAGTTAAGGAGTTTTTTTATTTCAATAATTTAAGTCGACATCCAAGCCTTTATTATATGTTAACTCGAACCGGCCTTTATTACATGATAAGGTCTTTTCTCTTTCCTCCCTTCGTTCCTTGTTTCTTCCTGTTTCTTTCTTTCTGGCCTTTTAAAAAAAGTCGGTTCTTTTAGTACACAACACATTCAACATGCGTAGAGTCGCACTGTCTGAATGAAAAAAAAATTCGGTTCTTTTGGTACACAACACATTCAACATAGAGTCGCACTGTCTGAATGAAAACACGCACTCCCCGGGAAAAAAGGTGATGATCAAACAAATAGAGGATAAACAGTCTGGTTATCTTTAGCTGTACGCTACTATTTTTGGATGGGTTTTGTCGATCGATAACTTAAAGAACTTTTACGAATGTAAATAAAGACGTGATGTCAATTTAAATGTTACGCAAGCGTGGGCGATGTTTAGAGTAAGATAATAAAAAATGTTTTGAGAATGATATCGACTTAAAAAGTGATATTTCCTTCTGGAGATTCTTATTGCCTAAAACATAAGATATACTTAAGGATGCGCTATACGCGGAACAATAGAAATACTCAGTTTAACGTGAAACGAATGACATAAAAGCCCAATTTCCAAGAAAGGGCAGATAAAAACCTTTTAAAACAGCACAGAATAGGGAACTCAAATGCTTTCGATAGGTGTGCAATGCAAGGGGCTTTTTAACTTTTAAAACTTATTTGAAAATCGGAGATATTTAATTTGTACACTAGCTTTTGAAGTTGTGATTATCGAATGTGAATTCGAAGGTTCAAGTATTGATGCTTGCTTAATTAATAAATCCAAACCGTCACTCTCTTCTTGACTATACTATACTGAGATCGATGAACAATAACCAACCTGACAGATTGTGAAATGTTGCGTACTTTCGGCGTTTTTCAGTTCGAACTTCCCGTTCATCGAAAGAAGGCAATTTCCTTTTTCCCTGTTGAAGCCTAAAAAATCCCGATTTTAATATACTTTTCAAAATCATACTTAACATTTCGGGTGTAGAGACCCCGTGTAAATCTACTTGCATGTAAAAGGGTGAGTTTAAATAAAAACACCTTTCAACTCCTTATGAGTTTCTTGTCGCAAATTTTAAGGCTTTGTGTTTGAATGAGAGAGCAATAAGAAAATCATATTTTATTGAGAAGGAAAAAAGGCACAAATTATCATTATGCCACGAGACCCAGGCAAACATGTACAGTTCATAATAAAACCAGCAAATGAAAGAAAATTTGAGGCGCCCAACTAGCTCCACACTGTACTGAGGAATCAAAAAATATAGTTCTGATTTAACCGAAAGGAACAGGGCCTGCATGCATGACAAAAAGTCGTTTTTGTTATGCAGTCTAGGGCCTTTTCGGTGTGTAAAATACAGTACGTACTATTTTTTGGATCTAATTTGATCAACACGGCCCTTACGCTGATTTGCATTGGACCCACGGGCTAAAACGGATCCCAGCGTGGACTGGAATAGGAATTTGATGGGGCTGTTTAGACTTAAATTGGGCTCAACAATGGTTCCAAGAGAGGCTTCGAATCCGACTTTGGCCTACAAGGCTGAATTGACACTTTGGGGAGGAAAGAGACTTGCAACTACAACATTTTTTTATATTTTCCTTAATTAATCTTTATTAAAACTTGAGTAGTTTTCTATATGACAAACTGGCCTTGCTTTTTTTCATTTTTTAATTCAAACATTGCTTAAAGCCACCAACAGGTTGTCAGTTAAACATCACATAACATTGGACTTATTTAGCAGGATCAAAAGGAGTTCATAAAGAATTGCAAAGATGGCGTTTCATTTTGTTCTTAGTCTTTCATACAAGCTCTTTGGCTACATACATACCCCTTTCAAAACTGAATCTAGTACTAAGATTTTATACTGTCTTGTAATACGCTCACAAATATAAACGGCAATACCCAGTTCACAGAAAAATATTGTAACTTTCGTGAGAGCTTTAACTGCTGTAAGATTACAATTAAAAAATTAAATGATGTGAAGTATATGAAATAAATCATTTTTTTTTAAAAAGTTAAAGTTACCAAAGTATTGTTGATTGAAGTTGTCACACGTGATCTGGTAGACTGCGTTTCCGCGTTTCTTTCGTAAACCTGACAGTTGGGTGTTGATGATTGGGCACTTCTCTCTATAGTGCATGTACGCTTCTTGGTGCTTAGTGTGGGACAGAGCTCGTGTGAGGGTACGATCTGTAGCATTACGCACTGAGACGTTTTCTTTTCCGAAAATGATGCTGATCCTGTAATTAATGAATCGTTCTCAAATACAAGTACGGAATTTTAATCTGTAGTATGACCATTCAGTGTTGATAGGTTGATAACGTTTCTTTTAAAAGGCCTCTTGGGGCGCTCCGTGCACCCAGTACTAGCTGTTCTCTGTATGGCCCTTCCAGACGCACGAAAGATGTCGTGGAATGGGTTTTGGTCAGTGCTGTGTTGCTGATATTTGTGAGGAGCATCTGTGTTCGATGCATTTGCGCTCGTTGCGAATGAATTCGAAATTGACCTTGGATTTCTTGGGTGTAGAAGATCCTTGGTGGAGAATTAACGATTTCTTGGCTGTTTTTTGTTTTTGTAGAATCCAAGGGCTAACCAAGTAACCAAGGTAGTACAATAGTTAACGCTCGGCAAGCGTAGTTTTTTTTGTAATTAAAAACCGATGAAAGGCATCTAGTTTTGTACACTTTTTAACTGTAAACAGTTTGTAAAGTTAAGT